GAATTTTAACATTAGAGGGATACGATTTAGAGAGAGGGTGGCATTCTTTTTTATGGGAGGGAAAAAATAGACAACATAACTATTTTCAGCGACATCTAATCAGACAGGCACTACTACAAACAGGGAAAGGGATAGAAAAGAATCACTATGATAAAATTCCAGAATGGTTATTCACAATGGAGGCACAAATTTACCCAAATGCATTAAACATTGACAAAACGAAAAGATATAAAGATTTGTTAAATAGTCAAGGGGAATTGAAAACAAGGCAGCAATTAAAAGAACAAGGTACAGACATTGATTGGTAGCCTTACATGCAAATAAAATCTAGATATAAGACAGATTTGATACACTATGGATTCCAAAGAGAAGTACATGAATTAGATAAAATCATCCAAAACAAAAGAATTTTAACATTAGAGGGATACGATTTACAGAGAGGGTGGCATTCCTTTTTATCGGAGGGAAAAAATAACTATTTTCTTTTTTTCTTCTTTTTTTGTAAAGTTTTTTTTATTTTTTAAAACATACAAACAAACATACGATGCATCTTTTCTGACCAGAATATTTTAAATTTGTACAGATTTTTGTTCATTTTTAACACAATTTTATATATTCAATTTTTCTCATATCTTTTATTTTCTCTAAATTTTAAAAAAAACCAATATTACCCTTCATCTTTATGTTTCATGCTAGTATAATTCCTTTTTTCTTTTCCCTCCTTAAAATTTGAACCCCTAAATTTAAATTCACAGAACATAATACAATCCCCAATTATTTCCTTAAGTTCTCTTATTCTACTCACCAATAATTCTTTTATTAACTATTCCAAATAATACATTTCAACAGTTAAATATATTCAATAAAGAAAAAAATGAATTAAATATCAATCTTACTTCAATACCCCTATATTTAAATTCATATAACATAATACAATTCCCAATTATTTTCTTGAATTCTCTTATTCCAATCTCAGATAGTTTTTTCTTTACTAATTATTCCGAATAGTACATTTTGACATTTTTATCAAGACCAATTAAATATATCTAAGTAATTCATAATCCAATATCATTTCAACTTTCTTTTCTTATTTAGTTAAGTTCCAAAGATATAATTAAAAATATTCCATTTGGTACAGTACCCTTCATTAATTCTTTAAAGATACAGTTCATTTCTTCATATTAACTTAAATGGTTTATTATTTACCATTCTATTACTTCAATTATTTATACATTTGTCTCTTATACTCCAGACATCATAGTTTCACTAATTAGTTAAAGAATCAATTTAATATCAATCTTACTCCAATGTCCCTAATTTAAAATTCAAATAATATAATACAATTCCCAATTATTTTCTTAAATTCTCTTATTCCAATCTCAAATAGTTTTTTTCTTTAGTAACTATTCCAAATAATACACTTCAACCTTTTTATAACATTTTATAAAGACCAGTTAAATATATCTAATTAATCCATAATCCAATACCCTAGTAGTCATTTCCTTTACCCCATATTTCTCTTCCATTTCTTTCTCCCTTCCCATCCTTATATTTTATTTTATTTTTCTTTCCCCTTCTTCTTTTTTGTATTTTAAAATCCTGAACTCTCTTTTCCCTTTTTCTTATCTTTCCACTGTTAGTCCCAATGTAATAATTTTGTTTTTTAAAATCATAAACTCTTTTATTTTGCTGTATCTTTCCCGTTATTTTCCATCCCTTTCCCCTTTTTCTTATTTTGTCACTGATAATCCCAGTGTAATCATTTAAGTTTTTTATATATTCTTTCTAGTCCACCCTCTTTTCTTTTTTTGTTTCTTTCCCCTTTTTCTATTTTTTCCATTGTTAAGCCCCATGTAATTTTTAAAGTTCTCCTTTTTATTATTGCTACCCAAATAATCATTTAATTTTCCATAATCAGTCTCCTTGTCTTTGTCTTCTTCTTTATTATCAGTCTCTTTTTCTTGCTTCTCATTCTTTTTTTTTCAGCTTCAGTATATCCTAAGTCAATTTTCTGATCATCAAGTTTCAATTTTCCATGCATCATTTTAGTCATTTTCCTTATTTTCAGTTTTCAATGATAAGTACATTGTTATCATCATTTCCTTCAATTCCTGCACCGTTTTATTCTTTTTAAGTTGATATTGTTCCAATTGAAGTTACGTTATAATCCTCTTTTTTCTCTTTTCTATTTCTCTTTTCTAATTTAAAATTCAGTCCAAATATACATAGTCCAAATAGTGCATTGCATTCCAATTTAGTTTCAATTTAAAGTCATTAACCAGTCCTTCTATTACAATTTTTCTTTATTCTTTTAATCTTTCTCTCTTCAAAGTTTCCAAATTAAAAATAATCTTTTCGGGTTCTTAATTCTTCTGATTTTTTTTTTTTAAATTCTCCAATTACTTAAATCCAAAACAAACTTCTAGTCGGATTTTATCACTTTATAATATCCACCTTAATCTTCTTCAGTCCTTCACGCCTATTATCTGCTATTATAGCTCCAGGACTTTACAGTTATTTTAAAAGTCTTTTTTTCTTTCTATGAGTTAAATATCACTCACCCAGCTTCAATATTCTGTTCAATTCTACACTCCTGCCCATTGCTTAATCTGGTTGCCCCAGTTTACTGGTGGTCATAATGGCCACCGCCCTCCGCTACAAAGTAAGAGAGAAAAACCCCCGACCTCTGAGGAACTTGCCTGTTCCTTTTGGTCTTCTGAGGTGCCTCTCTTTCTTCTCTGTACCTGCAGGACAAATCTGGTCCAAAGACCCCTCTGCAGCGGTTCATCAACCCGGGATTTCATGGGGCTCATCAGAGCCTGCTAATCCCCAACTGTCTCACCGCAATGCTTCTAGTTGAATCACAACATAATTATTTTCAACGACATTTAATCAGAGAGCCACTACTACAAACATGGCAAGGGATTAAAAAAAAGAATCACTATGATAAAACTCCAGAATGGTTATCCTTAATGGAGGCACAAATTTATCCAAATGCATTAGACATTCACAAAATGAAAAGATATAAAGATTTGTTAAATAGTCAAGGGGAATTGAAAACAAGGCAGGAATTAAAAGAACAGGGTACAAACATTGGTGGCCTTACATGCAAATAAAATCTAGATATAAGACAGATTTGATACAATATGGATTCCAAAGAAAAATACATGAATTAGATAAAATCCTCCAAGGCACAGAAGATAAATTGATAAAAAAAAATTATAACTATCTATTAAGGTACAAATTGGAAGAGAAAGGTAGTTAAGGAAAATATGATAATTTGGGCAAAAAAAATGTGGATATAACATTGAATTGGATAAATGGAACAAAAATTAAAAACTGACAATGTCTGTATCCTATAAAGAAAACATGTACAAAAGATTGGCAAAGATGTTTCCCAATACTTCATCAACAAGCTGGAAATGCAAACAGCAAAAGGGAACATATTACCATATGTGGCAGTCCTGTCATAAAGCAAAACAATATTGGAGTAAAATCAGATCACAATTAGAAAAAATAATCAGACAACATATAGAGATGAGACCAGAAATATTTTTACTAGGAGTACTCCCAGGGTCATATGAAAAAGAAATACAATATTTAATTATTCATATTATCACAGCAGCAAAAATAATCTACACCCAGAATTGGAAAAACAGTAATGTACCAACCGAAGATAATTTGATCAGAAAAGTTTTGGAATGTGCAGAAATAGATAAATTTACAAAGGAGATACAAGAAAAAGAGGAAACAGAATATTATGTAGTGTGGGAGAAATAGTATGAATGGGTGGAGGAGAGAGATAAAAGGCAAGGAAAAATTAAATAATGGTTGAAATAGGAGTAGAAGTACAATAACAAATATGAGGAAACAAAAACTGTAGAAATGAAACTGTACATGGGTATTTATATGTATATATGTAAATAAATTAATTAATATTAGAAGAATATGTACAAAAGATACATTAGAATAAGGGAGAAAAAATGTATGAGTAAGAATTTTTTTACTGATGCAAAACTGTTGAAAAGGAAAAATTGTTAAAGCTTTCTTTTTGTTTTGTTTTTTTTAAATGTTTAATATTTTTTTTAAAAGTGTTCCGTTGTTTTTACAATTACCTGCCAAGGTTGCAGCTCAAAAAGTTCAGCAGTTTGAACCTTCCTGAAGGATCTCGGATGGAGCTGAGAGGACAACATGGCATTCAAAGCATGTGCTGCTGCATAAACACCATTATAGATACTGTAGCTATGTACAGTGGTTCCCATCTCAAAGAGAGGCCCAGGGAGGTCCTGTAATCTCTCTTTGCCAGTACACATTTCATTCTTCTCTATTTCCATACCAGGATCTGGAAAAGTACAGTCAAATGCTCGCTCCCAAAACTCCTTCAGGAAGCCCTGACTTTTGGTACTGGATGGTTTTATGCCCTCAAGAAACTTGCTGAACCCCGGAAGTTCTCTTGAGTGAAATGTAAAGGAAATGGCACCCTGGAAAAAATCCAGGTCCCAACTTCTTTGCAAGAAAGGTAATGTGAAATCAATTCTACTTGTCATGACCCATACTTTCATAAATGAATCTTTTAATTTATTTCTGGGGTCTTGTACAAATAGAATTGTCCTCAGCTGGACCAGCGTTATTGATTCTCCATAGAGGAGGAACACCTTGGTTTTGTGATCAGTTAAAGCTACATTGTTATATGAGGTTATTTCCATCATTTCTTCAATGTTATCCAAACGGATGCGCTGTGGGATTTTTTGTCTGTAAGATGTGCAGATGCCATTCTGGAAAAGCAAAGCTTCCAGAGTTTGTAGGAACTTCTGTCCATCGTCATTGTCATGAGTGAAGATCCCGATCCAGGTCCATCCAAAATGTTGAAGCAATTTAAGAATCCCCAAGTACTGTTGGGCTTCGTTGGAGACCATGGAATAGAACAAAGGGACGAGAGTGGAATCAATCTTCCCAGGGACCAGGGCACCATAGGTGAGCTACAAATATAATTACGATTTTTAAAGCCAGCGGACAGCTTCATCTCTGTACGTCTGATTTTTCTACCATTTTTTGAATAACTTATCATTGCATAGAAAACCATGCATTAGTTTGGGAACTGTTTCTAAAGTATTAGTTCATAATGCATTTCCAGCAATATTTTTTGGTCAGATTAACAGAATTGGAAGGGACTTCATAGATCATCTAGTCCAACCCCCTGCTCAAGCAGGAGACCCTACACAATTTCTGACAAATGGCAGTCCAATCTTTTCTTGAAAGTCTGAAGTGATGAAGCTCCCACAACTTCCGAAGGCAACTTCTGTTGAATCTCTCCTTGGTCAGTTTCCATCCATTATTCCTTGTTTGGCCTTCAGGTGCTTTGGAAAATAGCCTGACCCCCTCCTCTCTGGGGCAGCCCCTCAAATATTGGAAGACTGCTATCATGCCTCCCCTGGTCCTTCTCTTCACTAGACTAGCCATGCCCAGTTCCTGCAACCATTCATCTTACGTTTTAGTCTCCAGTCCCCTAATCATCCTGGTTGCTCTTCTCTGCACTTTTTCTAGAGTCTCAACATCTTTTTTATAGTGTGTTGACCAAACCTGGATGCAGTTATTAGACTTTCAATTAGCCTTTCCTCCTTTTAGAATCACCAGGAGTTTAATGTGAGAAAAAAATACGTAATTTCCATATTTTATAATGCAAAACCCTTACCTGTGGAATCTTGTAGAGACCAAGGATATCTGCCATGTAAAAAGAGGTATCAGAACCAAGTCCTCCAATGATGGCTATCAGGTTCTTCTGTCTAGTACATTTGTAGTTGAGAAGAAAGCTCCTTGATTTGAAGAGCAGATCCAAAGTGGTCCGATAAGTCATCTTTGCATCATAGTAGCTGTCGTAGATATGGAATCCAAGGGTAACATTAGGCAAGATCTGGGGATCCTCATTGATCTCCTTCACAGCAAAGGCCACGGCAAGGGCATGCTGGTAGAACTTTGTCACCATACTGAAAATAGAAGTGCATTCTTTTCCAAACATGTGCAGAAATCACGCTTCCAATGTTTACAAAGCTACAAAACGTCCTCAGCCAGCATCCTATTCATGTTTGCAAAAACACTCTTTTACTTGATGTTTCTTCTAAACTCAATTACATAAGCCCACCTAGTTTTTAAACTGTGATTTGCAATAAAAAACTTGAGAGATTGGAATCAGTTAAATGCAACACTATAACAAATATTATTATTTTTTTGAATTGAATTTATAATTGTAATTGTATTTTTTTTAAAAAAGAAAAAAAGAAAAAAAAACATTGTTCACCATTCAGAATTACTTGGTAAGAGGGTTTGTTGTACATGTTGAATTAATTGATCAATAAATTTAAAAGTTTAGCATAGAAGCCATTAAAGGGGGAAAAAATGAAGAAGGTCTGGAGCACAGGGGCTGCAAGGACAAAAACACAATTGTTATTTTTGCAACGTCAAGTTTATTGCATTATTATAAATGAATGGGGGAAAAAATCCACAGCTCAAATCAACTGGCTATAAAATATGCCAGAAAAAAGGATATATTTAATAGAGTCATGCTTTATTTTATTTTATTTTTTGTATTTTGCAAACAACGTTATTTTGTTTTGATTCAGTGGTACATGACAAATTACTTCTAAAACTAAAATCCTATGGCATTTCTGGACTCCTACATAAATGGATAGCTGCCTTCTTGTCAAACAGACAACAAGTGGTCAAAATAGGAAGCGCTGTATCAAATCCTGTACATGTTAATAGCGGTGTTCCCCAAGGCAGTGTTTTAGGTCCAACATTCTTCATACTTTACATAAATGGCCTTTGTGATCATAGTAAAAGCAACTGTGTTCTCTTCGCTGATGATGTTAAACTATTCAACACCACCGACAATGCAACTACCCTTCAAAAAGACCTTGACTATGTATCAGATTGGTCTAAAAAGTGGCAAATCTCAACCAACAAATGCTCTGTCTTGCACATTGGCAAAAATAAAAAATAAAAACATAAAATACAAATTAGATGGACATGACCTTGTAGATGACCCTCACTCTGTCAAGGACCTTGGAGTACTCATTTCTAATGATCTAAGTGCCCGAGCCAACTGTAACAACATTGCCAAAAAGGCATTAAGAGTTGTTAACCTAATCTTGCGTAGTTTCTTCTCTCGTAATGTTGTACTACTAACTAGAGCATACAAAACATTTGCTAGACCAAGTCTAGAATACAGTTCATCTGTCTGGAACCCGCACTGCACATCGGACATAAATACAATCGAGAGAGTCCAGAGATATTTTACGAGAAGAGTCCTCTATTCCTCTAACCGCAATAAAATACCTTATGCCACCAGACTCCAAATTTTGGGCTTAGACAATTTAGAACTACGCCGACTTCAGTCTGACCTAAGCATAGTACATAAAATTATCTGCCACAATGTCCTTCCTGTCAATGACTACTTCAGCTTCCACCACAACAATGCACGAGCAAATAATAGATACAAACTCAAGGTAAACCGTTCCAAACTCGATTGCAGAAAATATGACTTCAGTAACAGAGTGGTCAATGCCTGGAATGGACTACCTGACTCTGTGGTTTCTTCCCCAAACCCCCAAAACTTTAACCTTAAACTGTCTACTGTTGACCTCACCCCATTCCTAAGAGGTCTGTAAGGGGCGTGCATACACGCACCAGCGTGCCTACCGTCCTTGTCCTAACATTTCTTTTTACCTACTCTTTTCATGTATTCAAATTATGTTTATATTTTCACCTGTTATCTTATATATGCTTGACAAATAAACTTATGTTTATGATTATGAAACTAGATATCGTGACTGTTTTCATGAACTGAAAAATAGATACTGTCTGGTTTTATTTTCATTTTTGCTGTTTCTTAGCAATTTACTTTTCTCTGGAATCTTAGGCCAATGCTTCAAAATAAAAGGAATGCTCCTTAAGGATGGATCAATGCACTGGTTACTTAACAGTACAGCTAATACCGAGAAAGCTATTGTAATGAAACAAGCATATGAAATATTATCTCTCACAGACAAAGCTCCTCAGTTCCACCTTTCTTGACTGTCTGGCTAATATTTGCAGGTGTAGTGACCAACATACAAAAACACAAACACAGACACAAACAAACAAAAACATATTCTCTCAAAGGTGCATTTTTTTCTTGCAAAAAAACAACTGGGCTGTTTCTTTATTTGAATCATCATTTTCCAAGATATCAGTGGAGATTCTCAGTCATCCAGATCATACTTTATATAGTTGTCCAGTTGCTTTTTGAAAAAGCAGCTTTGAGATTCTTCTCCAAGAAGCTTCATCAGTTATAATGATAACCAATGAACATTATGTGTAATATATAACATAACTGTTATATAACCTATAGCATTATAACTGATGAAGCTTCCTGCATAAGAAGCAAAATGTCTTAGAACATAGAATAATAGAGTTGGAAGGAAACTTGTAAGTCTTCTAGACAAACCTCCTGCTTGAGTAGGAGACCCTACAGTATATCTGTCTGTGGAGATTCTCAGTCATCAGGGTCATGATTGTCCCAACGGTGCTTTTTCAAGAGGCAATTGGACTTTCTGGTTTTTCTTTGAAGACATTTCACTTCTCATCCAAGAAGCTCCTTCAGAGCTTCTTGGATGAGAAGCAAATCATCTTCAAAGAAAGTGAAGAATGTCCAGTTACCTCTTGAAAAAGCACCTTTGGGGGACCGTATATCATTTTAGACATCTGGTTGTCCCGTCTCTTTTTGAAAGCCTTCAGTGATAGTTTTCCATCTACTTCCTCAAATAATAATAATAATAAAAACAACCCACTTGCCTTTTGAAAGAAATTACACCTTTGAGGCAGCTATGACCTGGATTTCTGAGAATCTCCATAGGTAAAAACACTTACTCAGAAAACTCAGCTGAGACCTGTGAAGGCATTTCCTCAAATAGATCTTCACTGAACGCATACAGAAACTGAGAGATCATCCCACCAATGAGGAGGTCAGCTGGCTGGTACCACTCATGAGGAATGGGGATAAGATCACTCTGGTGACATTTCAGACCGGCTATATCTCCCACTAAGTTAAATATCAGAGCCAAAATCACAGACTGTTTCATCGTCTGACAGAAAATCTCAGCTTCCTGCATTTGTACAGTCTAGTCCATTTCAGCTGCCATTTTCATCAGCCCCTGATTGGGACCATTGTCATTTTTGAGGAAAATAGATTGGTTCCCACTTAACAAGGAGATAAATGCAAGTTGATGTGTATCAGCTGAGCCTGCTAACATTCTAACTTTAGATGGATATCAGTAGATTAAAAAGGGAGAGATTTGAAAAATTAACTCTTCAGAAACTCACTTCAGATCCCTCCTCCCAGTTTTGAATATCAGAGGCATAATAGACATGTTCAGACTTATTTTCTCTTGGGAAATAGTTGAACAATAGGTTGTCTGAAGCAAAATTTATTTGACTAAATCCGGAGAGAGATAATTCAGAGAATAATACTTTGAATGCTGGGTTTGGAATCCTAAACAACCTTTTTGTTAATAATTGTATTTTTTCCCCTCCTTCAAGCTTGGAAGGGTATGTGTGCATCGAGTTAGTTTGTGTGGCCACCTTGCCATGACACTCATCTATGCCCACCTAGTTGTAGTGAACCACCCAGCCATGCTCATCCAACCATACCCACTGGCGGCTTTGAGTCATCTCATTCTATAATTAGAATTATAGAATAACAGAGTTGGAAGGCACCTTGGAGGTCTTCTAGTCCAACCCCCTGCTTAGGCAGGAAACCCCACACCACTTCAGACAAATGGTTATCCAATCTCTTCTTAAAAACTTCCAGTGTTGGAGCATTCACAACTTCTGGAGGCATGTTTTCCAACAATTAATTGTTCTAACTATAAGGGAATTTCTCCTTAGTTCTAAGTTGCTTCTCTCCTTAGAGAGGAGTTTAGTTTCCACCCATTGCTTCTTGTCCTGCCTTCAGGTGCCTTGGAGAATCGCTTGACTCCCTCTTCTTTGTGGCAGCCTCTCAGATATTGGAACACTGCTATCATGTCACCCTAGTCCTTCTTTTCATCAAACTAGACGTGCCCAAGTCAGCAACCGTTCTTTATATGTTTTAGCCTCCAGTCCCCTAAACATCTTTGCTGCTCTTCTCTGCACTCTTTCTAGAGTCTCAACATCTTTTTTACATTGTGCAACCAAAACTGGATTATTTATTTATTTATTTTGTCACATTCACAGCCTTCAGGCACCAGCACATCACATCTACTGCTTCATTGAACTGACGAGGGGTGGAGATATACAACTGGGTATCATCAGCATATTGCTGATATCCCACCCCGTGTCATCGGATGATTTCACCCAGTGGTTTCATATAGATGTTAAATAGGAGGGGAGAGAGGACTGAGCCCTGAGGCACCCCACAAACGAGGAGCCTAGGGGTCGACGTCTGTCCTTCTACCAGGACCAACTGTGATCGACCAGAGAGATAGGAGGCAAACCACCACAACACGGTGCCTCCCACTCCTAGCTCCCTATCCAGAAGGATACCATGGTCAATGGTATTGAAAGCCACTGAGAGGTCAAGTAGCACCAAGATAGAGGAATGACCCCGTCTCGGGCTCACCAGAAATCATCCCTCAGCGTGACCAACGCAGTTTCCATGCTATAGCCAGGTCTGAAACCAGACTGAAAAGGGTCCAGATATTCCGTTTCATCCAATGACTGCAGGAGTTGAAGTGCCACCACCTTCTCTACAACCTTTCCCACAAAGGGTAGGTTGGAGACTGGATAGAGTGAACTATTGAATGAAAAGTGTGAGCTTAAATTAAAACAAGATTTAGAGGATCAGGGATTCAAGATGGATTGGTTTTCATATATGCAAATATTTTCTAGATATCAAGAAGATCTTAAACAAGAAGGTTTTTATAATGTTTTGACTATTTTAGATAAGATATTAATGGGCTCTGATGACCATGTAATTAAAAAGTTATATGGATATTTGTTAGAGGTAAAATTGGAAGAAGAACAAGTTAAAGAATCAATGATAGCATGGGGGAAAATTTTTGGTTATGGTATTGATTTAGAGAAATGGCAAAAATAGTGGTCACATAATTATAAAATGACAATGTCTACAGCATATAAGGAGAATTTGTATAAGATGTTTTACAGGTGGCATTTACCCCCGACGAGGATAGCCAGAATGTTCCAGAATAAATTGGAGAAGTGTTGGAAGTGTCATCAGACCCCAGGATCCTATTACCATATGTGGTGGACGTGCGTAGAAGCAAGGAGATTTTGGACTAAGATACACACGTGGTTGGAAAAAATGACAAAGAGACATATTGACTTTAAACCAGAGACATTTTTATTAGGGATCTTACCAGAGACATTTAATAAAGAATTGCAATATTTAATTGTGAATATCTTAACAGCAGCTAGAATTGCATTTGCAAAAAATTGGAAAGGAGAGAAGATAATTACTGATGAAGAAATTATTAAGAAAATGCTGGACTGTGCTGAAATGAGTAGATTGACATTTGAAATAAGAGAACAGGAAGATAAACAATATTATTTGAAATGGGAGCTATTTTATCAATGGATAGATAATAAAGAATGGAGATGAAATATTACATATAAAATGAAATTTGGATAAAATGTGTAAACACTTGTTTTTTGTTAGAGGAAAGAACATTTGTCATAATTTAAATTTTGAAAATTTTGATAGCACGACATGATTTTAACCGATCGAAACACTGTCTGTGATTGTATGGAAGGATGATGTTTTTATGTTGTTTTTGTTTAAAAAAATAAAAAAAACTTTTTTTAAAAAAAATAATAATATTAGGCAAACAGAATTGATGATAATTGATGTTTGAATCCCCAAATCTTACTCATACTAATAAACATTGCACCAGAAAGATATCTAATATTTTAACTCTTTATTCTTTTTATCTTCACTTTGATATTCAGCTCATAAATATTGATAAAAAAATTGAATAATATTAGGAAATATAATGGCATTACAGTGACTTTTTGATCCCAAAGTCTTACCCATACTAGTCACCATTGTATCCGAAAGTAAAGGAACTGAATTCTTCAGTTCTTTCTTCTTACTAGCTGATCCTTGGTATTCATCTCAGGTCTCAACAGAATGATATAGCATTTAGGGAAAAAGATACATCCCAGTAATCCAGCACTAGAAGCTAAAATGGAGAAGATCTCCACAGCCAACAAGGCTTTTCCTGTGGAGCTCAGGTAAGTTGGAACAAATAGCACCCAAACACTGCAAAATACCAGCATGCTAAAGGTAATGAATTTGGCTTCATTGAAGCTGTCCGGTAATCTGCGAGCACAGAAGGCCACAAAGAAGCTGGCAAGAGCCAGGAAGCCCATGTAGCCTAGGACACAGGAGAACATGACCAGAGAGCCTTCATTACATTCATTGATGATGGCCTTGGTCACAGAATGCATGTTCAACTGTGGGAATGGAGGGGAAGATCCTAGCCAGAGGGCGCAAAGGCCAACTTGGATGAGAGAGAAGAAAAGGACAATGGAGGTTGCCATCCTTTTTCCCACCCACTTCTTCATGTTGGAATCTGGCCTGGTAGCCATGAAGGCTACAACCACAGTGAGGGTTTTGGCCAAGATGCAAGAAACAGCCATGGAGAAGATGATGCCAAAGGTTGGTTGTCGGAGAAGGCAAGTGACTTCATTGGGTTGACCAATGAACAGGAGAGGACACAGGAAGCAGAAGTGGAGGGAGATAAGGAGAATGTAGGTGAGGTCCCGGTTGTTGGCTTTGACCAGAGGGGTATCTCTGTGCTTAAGAAATATTCCTAATATCAGAGCAGTGATCAAAGACAATGAAATAGAAATGGAGGCCAAAGTATACCCTAGAAGTTCCTTGTAAGAAAGGTATGTTACAATTTTGTGGATGCAGTCATCTTTTCCTTTGGTTGGGTATTGGTCTTCTGGACATTTGAAGCATTTTTCCATATCTTTAAGACAGATAGACAGAAAGGAAGGAAAGAAAGATAGATTTCAGGTCAATTTGTGTATAGCATTTTGTCTTCCAAGCAGAGTTGTTGTAACATCCTATGTATGTTTATGTGTACCGATACATATGCATGTGTATAAATATATGCATCAATTTGACCTCATGAATATGACATTCAACAAGAAACCAAAAGATTGTGAATTCTACTCACACCTTAGACAGAAAGTCAGCTGGGGGACCTTCACTCAGGGGCACCAAAAATAACATGGAGTACTTTGGATTTCAAAGAAGTAGAAGACCCAAAAGTGCTTTTTCAAGAGGGAACTGGGCTTTCTGGTTTTTCTTTGAAGATGCTTTTTCTTCTCACCCAGGAAGCTTCTTCAGCTCTTCTTCAGCTTCTTGGATGAGAAGTGAAACACCTTAGACAGAAAGCCAACTGGATGACCTTCACTCAGAGACATCAAACATAACATGGACTGCTTTGGATTTCATATAAGTAGAAGAGTAATTAAAATATTGCCACTTCTTGAAGGATCCCATCCATTAAAGATGTGCAACTTAGAAAGCATCAATGCATTCTATATCCAAATTCTTATATGACAATATGAAAAATAAACAGCCACAAGATGTTGTTATGCCTGCAGAAAAGTCCAAAAATTTTTTACCAAGAAGTATTTGAGGTAGCTTCAAATGTGTTTTATTTTTTCTCAGCAGCCCAGCAATTAAATCACCACTGTTTTCCTCAAAGGGCTTCAAAGGGACAAATTGCCCCCTCCTCAAAAAAGGGTTGCCTGTCCTAGTGAAAACATTAGACAACATTAGCATTACTACAACTACTCAATGTCTGAAAATGAAGCCCAGCAGTGTTACCTCTTGGGGATAAACTAGCTGGATTGATAAACTTGTCTTATGACCACAATTGAGCCCAACATTTCTGTTGCTACGGGAGTCATTTCTTAAGGTAGTTTTGCTCAATTTTATGACCTTTCTAGCAGGGGGGTATCTACTTACCTTTACTTCTGTGCAAGCACAGAAACTTCCTGATGATGTTGGGGTCAGTGGGCATACCCTCCCGCTGGTTTTACTACCGGTTCGTGCGAACCGGTCCGAACCAGGGGCAACCCACCACTGCTTTCTAGCCATGGTTGACAAGTAAATCACTGCAAATGTTAAATTAGTATCACGGTTGTTTATCAATTAAGATGATTAAAGTCCTGGAGACTTTGTAAAACATATGATGAATGGTTGTAGGATTTGGGTTTAGCTAGTCTACAGAAAAGAAGGATTGGGGGGGACGATGACACATGATAGCAGTATTCCATTATTTGAGAGGCCGCCACAAAGAGGAGGGAGTCAATTTATTTTCCAAAGCATCAGAGGGCAGAACAAGAAACAATGAATGGAAATGAATCAAGGAGAGAAACAACCTGGAATTGTGGAGAAACTTCCTAATTGAGGACAATTAACCAGTGGAACATAAGTTGCCTTCAGAAATCATGGGCATTCCATCACTGGAGGTTTTTAAGAAGAGACTGGACAGTCACTTATCTGAAATGGTATAGGTTCTTCTGTTTGAGCAGGGGGCTGGATTATTGCTATAAGATTGAGAAACAAGAGAATAGAATAAAATTACAGACTTTGGAGGTCTTCTAGTCCAACCCCCTGCTTAGTCAGGAAACCCTACGCCACTTCAGACAAATGATTATACAATCTATTCTTAAAAACTTCCAGTATTGGAGCATTTACAACTTCTAGAGGCAAGTTGTTCCACTGATTAATTGTTCTAATTGTCAGGAAATTTCTCCTTAGTTCTAAGTTGCTTCTCTCCTTGATTAATTTCCATCCGTTGCTTCTTGTCCTGCTTTCAGGTGCTTTGGAGAATAGCTTGACTCCCTCTTCTTTGTGGCATCCCCTGAGATATTGGAGCACTGCTATCATGTCTCCCCTAGTCCTTCTTTTCATTAAACTAGACATACCCAGTTCCTGCAACTGTTCTTCATATTTTTTTAGCCTCCAGTCCCCTAATCATCTTTGTTGCTCTTCTCTGCACTCTTTCTAGAGTCTCAACATCTTTTTTACATCGTGGTGACCAAAACTGGATGCAATATTCCAAGTGTGGCCTTACCAAGGCCTTATAAAGTGGTATTAACACTTCATGTGATCTTGATTCTATCCGTCTGTTTATGCAGCCTAGAACTGTGTTGGCTTTTTTGGCAGCTGCTGCACACTGCTGGCTCCTATTTAAATGGTTGTCCACTAGGACTCTCTAGATCCCTCTCATAGCTACTACTATTGAGCCAGGTACCACATAGAGTATACTGTACCTGTACATTTTGTTTTTCTTGCCTAAGACTGTTATAATGTACCTGTCCTGTTTGAAATCTCCCCTTCTGGGCAAGGAACGCAATCATAGCAGCAAAATTTCTCTCCTTCCTTCTTTTTCTTTTGATTTCCAGGATGGCACTGTTCATTGCAGACTGAAAGAGGACAGACCTAATATAAATAGAAAATGAACTGGGATAAGAAAAATGCACCCCATATGTCTCTGTACAGCCCCCCCCCCCAATATTTGAGCAAGCCTCAGCTTGAATCTCTAAGAAAGAACAATCCTTAACTCCATTTGTTGAGAAAGGTATATTTTACTAAAGGTCAAATGGAATATAGTAATGCAAAGCCCAAACTAAAAATCACACGACAAAATCCCCATATCTAACTTTCCCTTCCTTAGGTACCTACCAGTGCTGCCCCACCAATCTCTGTTCAAATTCAAATATGATGTTTTCAGAACGGTTGCTTCAAGTGTGGTTTGGTGTGCAGTTATCTTCTGTTCCCAGCTGGTCGACCTTGAAGTTGTGTCTCAGGGAGATACAGTGAACTTTCTGTTTCCCTCAAATCTTCCCCTCTCTCATCCATTCTCCCTAGACCAGGGGTGTCAAACTCAAGGCCCGGGGGCGGTATGTGGCCCATGAGGTGCTTAGATCTGGCCTGCAGGGCCTTCCTGGAAATGGTGAAAGACTGGTCCATGGGGCCTCTGCTAGCAAAAATGGAGCTCAGGGAGGCTGTGCAAGGCCCACCTGGGCTCCATTTTTGGATACAACAGCCTCCTGAAGCCCTCTGCCAGTGTTGTGGCCTGTCAGCGGCCTGCGTGGATCGTGGCTGATCCTGACAATGAGGAGGCTGGTGTGGTGTCGTGCCAGCAGCCTGCACAGCCTGCGCTCGCGTCGGACAGCGAGGAGGCCGAAGAGGATATGATGCCAGAGGCAGAGATTCAGCCAGGGCCTTCAGAACCTCCAGAGGCTCCTTCCAGTGGAGAGAGCGAAGTGGAGGAGCCTCTCCTCAATGCTTGGGCATGCAGGGCTGTCAAAAGGCAGGAGTGGTTACTCAGGAAGAGAAGGTCTACTCGAGAGTAGGGCTTGAGGATAATTGGCCACTCCCTTAGCCTATTTAAGTCACACGCAGCTAATGCTTTCTTGCTAGAAACAACGTCTCATTACTACAGAGCATCTTGGAGAGCGAGCAATTTCTCATATCTGGTTTTCTGGGCTGGTTGCCAACCTTTGTCAGACTTTGTTCTTAATAACTTTGATAAGGACCCTTTGCACGGGAAGCCTACATTCTTGAAAGAAGTTTGTTTGGAATTAAACAGTGTTTGCGAAGCTTGGTATGTGTCACATTCTCTGGGAATCCGAAGCTGGGGCAGAACAGCCAGTGAAAAGGGAGGCCTAGGGAGACTGTGCACTCTATTTTTGCTGGCAGAGGGCTGCAGGAGGCCATCACGGTCAAAAAAAGAGCCTTGAGAAGTAACATTGTTTTGGCTATGCCACCCTGGCCACACCCCCTGGCCACATGTCCCTCCCACCCAAGATAAAACACAACCCTGATGCAGCCCTCAATGAAATAGATTTTGACACCCCTGTCAAAATTATGGCAGACTGGCACCAAGTGGAAGCAAAGGGCAAACATGAGGTCACAACTGACATATACAGAAGTCATCACATTTTCAGAAATAGGCTGCAGTTGTTTGACACCTGCATTTTGCATCCAGTACATGAAACAGGGCTCTTGCGCTCTAGCTACTGAACCTACAAGATAAATCATTGCGTAATATTTGGCATTTTCATTTTAATCGTAGTCCTCACCTGGACTACAGCAATGCTCTCTACATGGGGCTCCCCTTGAAGAGCACCCGGAGGCTCCAACTGGTCCAGAATGCGGCCGCGCGGGTAGTTACGGGAGCTGCATGGCGCTCCCACATAACACCTCTCCTGCGTGAGCTGCACTGACTCCAGTGATCTTCTGGGTGCTATTCAAGGTGTTGGTTATCACCTTTAAAGCGCTCCATGGCATAGGACGTGGATATCTTCGAGACCGCCTGCTGCTACCAATGGCTTCCCACTGACTTCTACGCTCCCACAGAGAGGGCCTCCTCAGGGTGCCATTGGCCAAACAATGTAGACTGGTGGCCCCCAGGGGGAGGGCCTTTTCTGTGGGGGCACCTGCCCTCTGGAATCAGCTGCCCCCAGAGATATGAAGAATCCAAGACCTCGGTGCCTTCCGCTGTGCCCTGAAGACCTTTCTTTTTCAGCAAGCCGGGCTGGCTTAACACATTTTTAAATGTTTTTAATAGGTTTGTTATTGTTTTTCAATTTTGGGGCCAATCGCATATATATCTTTTAAACTGTATTTTAATGTTTGTATTTATGTTTTTACTTTGGCTGTGTACCGCCCTGAGTCCTCCGAGAGAAGGGCGGTATATAAATCTGATAATAAATAAATAAATGAGTAAATAAATGAGTAAATAAATAAATAAATAAATAAATAAATAAATAAATAAATAATCAAGACCCAAATGTTCTTTAGAGAAAACCCTTCACTGGACTGAAGAATACAGGGGGAATCAGGATCAGCAAGAACATGGTTTAAGTGATTCAATGACAGCCTTTGGATATCTCTGTTAGGCTTAGATAGTAGATATACAGTAGTGGCCAAAATTGTGGAAACCTTTTGGGAAAAGTGCATTTTTGAAGTTTGATAGCTAATAACACCACTTTTTTTGGGGGGGAGTTTCAAGATAATCCTATTCCACTGCTGGAATGGCCTAGGAACAGCCCAGACCTTAACCCAATTGAAAATCTATGGAGCCGACTAAAGAAAGCGACCCAGCGATAAAACCCAGTTAATAGAAGCAATAATTCCATCTTGGTTTCACATTCTAACAGCTGCAGATTTAAAAGACTTGGTTCACTCCACGGGAAGACATTGTAAGGCTGTAATTCATGCTAAAGGTTACCCAACTAAGTACGAACTGACCTGGTGATAATTTTTGTATAATTCATTGTTTCTACGTGTTTCCCTTTTCTTCTTTATACTGTAACTGCTATTCTAATAGCAAATCCTTCATAAAAGTTATTGCATTACATTCTTGATTAAAGGAGCCTTGGTGGCACAGTGGACTAAGTGCTGTTAAAGTAGTACTTAGTTGCCAGCTGCCTGCAATTACTGCAAGTTCAAATCTCACCAGGCTCAAGGTTGACTCAGCCTTCCATCCTTTCGAGGCAGGTAAAATGAGGACCCGGATTGTGGGGGCAATTAGATGACTTTGTATAAAAAAGAAAACCACTTGGGGGGGTGGGGGGCGAAAGCCCTACTAAGCAGGTATATACAAAAGTAGGAAGGCTATTGCTTAATGCATTGTAAGCCGCCCTGAGTCTCTGGAAAAAGGGTGACATATAAAATCGAACTAATAAATAATAAATTATCTTTCCATTGATATATAATGTTATGGTACTACTCCCCCCCCCCAAAGAAAGAAAATAGAAAATACACTTTCCCCAAAAAGTTTTCACAATGTTGGCCACTACTGTAATATAGCACTAACAATAGCACTTAGACATATATACTGCTTCACAGTGCTTTATAGCACCCTTTAAGCAGTTTACAGAGTCAGCATAGTGCCCCCAACAATCTGGGTCCTCATTTTACCAACCTGGGAAAAATGGAAGGCTGAGTTAACCGTGAGCCAGTCAGGATTGAACTGCTGGCTGTAGGCAGAGTTAACCTGCAATGCTGCATTCTATTCACTAGGCCACCATGCTACTCGTATATGATATAGTGTAATAGTATTATGATATAATATTATCATAAGGGCAAGCATTGTCTGGAAACATCTCTGCCTCTTCCTATTATTCATAAAATAAATATTATGAACCACATGGAGAAAGGAGAGTCCTTTGTGAACCCAAAGAGTTGCACCTGATTGAAGACTCTGTGCCACAAAATCATGTTCTCATTAATTCTGAATTCTTCTCCACCGGGTGCATCTGGCTCTACCCATCCAACTTTCACTCTTTCAAAAGACCTGTTTGGAAAAGTGACCATGTTCACAATGTCAAATCCGCCTCTTATTTCCTTTCGCTCATTAAAGGACACCATGTCGTTCGCTGAATTGTTGAAGGAAACCCTTTTCAGATATGGGTGAAGCTGATTGAAAAACCAAGAATAAGAAAACATGTATTATTTAGAAAGAGGTAAAGAAAAGAAGTTAACGATGAATTAAAGATTTCATTTATTTGTTAACAGAATAACAGAATTGGAAGGGACCTTGGAGTTCTTCTAATCCAACATTTGCTCAAGCAGGAGACTCCATACCATTCCAGACAAATGACTATCCAGTCTCTTTTTAAAAACCTCCAATCATGGACTACCCACAACTGCTGGAGGCAAGCCATTCCACTGATTAATTGTTCTCACTGTCAGGAAATTTCTTCTTAATTCTAGGTTGCTTCTCGCCTTGATTAGTTCCCAGCCGTTGTTTCTTCTCTTGCCATCTGGTGCTTTGAAGGATGGGTTCATCCCCCTCTTCTTTGTGACATCCACTCACATATTGGAATACTGCTATCATATCAACCCTAGTCCTTCTGTTTACTAGACTAGACCTGCCCAACTTCTGCAACCATTCTTCATATATTTTAGTCTCTAGCTCCCTAATCTATTTGGTTGCTGTTCTCTGCACTCTTTCCAGAATTTGTTTTAAGTTATGATGACACTAATTCCAATGATTAAGTTCTATCAAGAAATATTAGAACCTTACAGAACTCAAATGAGTTTTGGGATAAGTTTTCTTCTATCCACCCTTGCAGTCCTTGCCCATAATAATTCAAAGAACTAAGATATTTTTGAAGAAGAGTTGTTACATTTTCCATAGCTAAGCTTCTACGAACCTCATTTGAGTCTGTCATCTGCACCTCTCTAACTGTCTGGTTTGGCTCTGTAACCCAACAAGACAGACCGAGACTTCAATGGATAATTAGAACTGCAGAAAAAACAATTGCTACCAATCTGCCTTCCATTGAGGACCTGTATACTGAACGAGTAAAAAAGAGGGCTGTGAAAATATCTACAGACCCCTCACATCCTGGACATAAATTGTTTCAACTTCTACCCTCAAAACGACGCTATAGGGAACTGCACACCAGAACAACAAGACACAAGGAGAGTTTTTTCCCCGAATGCCATCACTCTGCTAACCAACTAATTCCCACAACACTGTCAAATTAACTACTATGACTGTATTACTATTCTTCTTCTCATCCTTACTAGTATTTATCGCTTCCCACTTACGGCTATATCCATGTTGCTTGTATCTTTACAACTTATATTGTTTTTATTGTTTCCTAGTACAATTTGATTGCATCTTAGCATCCTATGACTATTACTAAGTGTTGTATCTTATGATTCTTGACAAATATATTTTATTTTTTTCTTTATGTACACTGAGAGAATATGCACCAAAGACGAATTCCTTGTGCGTCTAGTCACCCTTGGCCAAAAAAAGAATTCTATTCTATTCTATTCTATTCTATTCTATTCTATTCTATTCTATTCTATTCTATTCTATTCTATTCTGTTCTGTTCTATTCTATTCTATTCTATTCTATTCTATTCTATTTCACTGTCATGTGTTTTAACTCTGATAGAGAAAATAGCCACATTGTTTGATCTTGCAGAATATGTTTAAGACATCAAATCTATGAAATTGTATAGATTCATCAAGTACCCATGGAAAGGACATGTATGACTGTTCATAAATTTTCAGCTAGAGATAAAGTTCAGGAAAAGTTCAATCAGTCATTGTAACAAAAACAATCCTGTTTTAGGTGCCATTATTACCAGCCACGGCTGAAGTTCTACAAGTTCAACAGAGCCGGCCCTCTTGATAGATCTCTGGAAGGATTGAGATGAGAACATGGCATGCAAAGCATGAACTGTTGCATAAACACCATTATAGATACTGTAGCTATGTCCAATGGTATGCATTTCAAACAGGTGTCCAGGCAGATCTTCCAAATTTTCTTTTCCACTACACATTTCATCATCCTTTAATGACATATCAGGATTTGGGAGAAAACAGTCAAATGCTTGCTCCCAAAAGTCCTTAAAGAAACCATCTTCTCGGGCCCAGGAAGGTTCTACCATCTGGAGAAAAGTTTTGAATCCCTGAAGTTCTCTTAAGTGAACCATAAAAGAAATGGCTCCTTGGAATAAATCAAGATCCCAACCTCTCTGAATTCCTGGGAGTATGAAATTAATCCCACTTGTCATGATCCAGACCTTTCTGAATGAGTCCTGTTCTTTATTTGCAGGGTCTTGCACGAATACAATGGCCCTCAGCCGTGCTATTGTCACCGATTCTCCATAAATGATGAATGTATTAGCTTTATGATCAGTCAATGGAACGTGGATATGTGATGCTTTATCAATAATGGGTTCCAAGTGATCCAAACTAATTTCATGCGGGATTCGTTCTGTGTAAGCTGTGCATATTCCATGCTGGGAAAGCAATAATTCCATGGTCTGCAAGAATTTCTCTCCATTATTATTATCAAGGGCCATGAGCCCTATCCATGTCCACCCAAAATATTGGAGCAACTGGATGATTCCAGAGTATTGGTGAGCTTCATTTGGGACCATGGAATAAAATGAAGGGACTTGGATGTCATAAAGCTTCTGAGGGACCAATGATCCATATGTGAGCTAAACCAGAATATAACAAGGGGAAAAAAACAATAAGATAAAACAGTGGTGGAATATTTATCTCTACAGAGATAATGTTTAAGCAGTTTGTTCATGTACAGAGAGCTAAAGTGAATGAGTTTTTGAGGAATATTTTAAAGGCATTAGAGCATAATGCAGCATACTCCAAAGCACCTGAAGGCAGGAAAAGAAGCATTGGATGGAACCTAATCAAGGAGATAACCAACCTAGAACTAAGGAGAATTTTTTTGACAGTTAGAACAATTAATCAATGGAATGACTTGCCTCCAACATTGGAGGTTTTTAAGAAGAAACTAGACAGTGATTTGTCTAATCACTGTCTAATTTCCTGCTTGAGCCGAGGGTTGGACTAGAAGACTTCCAAAGTCCCTTCCAACTCTACTATTCTCTCATTCAGTTTCAACTGTTTTTTTTTTTTAGTCCAGTCCTGTCCTTTGACTGCTTTTTGCCTACTGCAAGCAAAATCCTACCTGTGGTAACTTGTAGAGATCCAGAATGTCCGCCATATGAAAAGAGGTATCAGAACCAAGTCCTCCAATGATGGCTATCAGATTCCTTTGCCTGGCACATTTGTAGTTGGGAAGAAAGCTAATTGATTTGAAGAGCAAATCCAAGGTGGTGCGATAAGTCATCCTTGCATCATAGTAGCTGTCGTAGATATGGAACCCAAGAGTAAGGTTAGGCAAGATCTGGGCATTCTCATTGATCTCCTTCACAGCAAAGGCCAGGGCAAGGGCGTGCTGATGGAACTTTGTGACTACACTGCAAAATAAAAATAAAAATAAAAATAAAAATAAGGTTCAACTTTTTTCATTAAGCCAGAGAGAACAAATGCATTCATAATTTACAAACTTACTCTCCAAACAAATCAATCAATAACAACTTCACTGTAATGATACTCTTTTTCTCCCTGTGTTTTCTAAAAGCTGTGATATACCATTTCTCAAATCCCTCCCCCCAAAAAAATATATATTGATGATGAAGTACCATGTCTGGATTAGAAAGACAGCTACATGAACTGGTAGAAATGTTATTATTTATTTATTTCAAAAGAAAAATGTTCATCTTCTGAATCTGTGGTCAACATTCCAGGCATTTCTTATGTCAATTGTAATTTAGAACATACAGTAGAGAATGGAACAATATTCATCTTCTTATTTTATGATCAGAAATATGGATTTTTATTCAATTTTATTTTCTTTCTTTCCATCATTTATATTGACTGTTTCCCTAGGAACTATCATTAAGTGCTGTACCTTATGATTCTTGACGAATGTATCTTTTCTTTTATGTACACTGGGAGCATATGCACCAAGACAAATTCCTTGTGTGTTCAATCACAGTTGGCCAATAAAGAATTCTATTCTATTCTATTCTATTCTATTCTATTCTATTCTATTCTATTCTATTCTATTCTATTCTATTCTATTCTATTCTATTCTACTCTACTCTACTCTACTCTACTCTACTCTACTCTACTCTACTCTATTCTATTATCTATCTTTGTGTCTGTACTGAAGAAAATTGGAAGACAATTCTTTTTTAATCATTTTTTAAGCCTTCCCCCCTTTTGATGCTGTCTCCCCTAATTTTTACTTTTCTATTGTTTGCTATTTTATCTTTTTGGTTTTTAATTTAATACAGTTAAAATGTAGTTACTGTCCTTTCTCTGCTAACCCCCTGCTTAGGCAGGAAACCCTACACCACTTCAGACAAATGGTTATCCAACATCTGCTTAAAAATCTCCAATGTTGGAGCATTCACAACTTCTGGAGGCAAGTTGTTCCACTGATTAATTGTTCTAACTTTCAGGAAATTTATCCTTAGTTCAAAGTTGCTCCTCTCCTTGATTAGTTTCCATCCATTGCTCCTTGTCCTGCCCTCAGGTGCTTTGGAGAACAGTTTGACTCCCCTCTTCTTCATGGCAGCCCACTTAGATATTGGAACACTGCTCTCATGTCACTCCTAGTCCTTCTTTTCATTAAACTAGACATACCCAGTTCCTGCAATGGTTCTTCATATGTTTTAGCCTCCAGTCCCCTAATCATCTTTGTTGCTCTTCTCTACACTCTTTCTAGAGTCTCCACATCTTTTTTACATCATGGCGACCAAAACTATATGCAGGATTCCAAGTGTGGCCTTACCAAGGCCTTATAAAGTGGTATTAACACTTCATCTGATCTTGATTCTATCCCTCTGTTTATGCAGCCTAGAACTGTGTTGGCTTTTTTGGAAGCTGCTGCAGACTGCTGGCTCACATTTAAATAGTTGTCCACTAGGACTCCAAGATCCCTCTCACAGTTATTACTACTGAGCAAGGTACCATATATCTGTACACTGCATGAGTCAAAAAGAGGGCTGTGAAAATATCTAGAGACCCTCACATCCTGGACATAAATTGTTTCAATTTCTACCCTCAAAATGACGCTATAAAGCACTGCACACCAAAACAACTAGACACAATTTTTTCCCCGAATGCCATCACTCTGCTTAACAATTAATTTCCACAACACTGTCAAATAATTTACTAAGACTGCATTACTATTATTCTTCTCTTCTTTACTAGTATCTATCTCTTTCCACTTATTACTATAACCAGCATCGACTTCCCATCGCCCGATGCGTTCCCACAGAGAGGGCCTACTCAGAGTGCCGTCAGCTAGACAATGTCGGCTGGCGACCCCCATGGGTAGAGCCTTCTCTGCGGCTGTGCCCACCTTTTGGAATCAACTTCCCGTGGGTCTTCGGCTGGCCCCCGACCTTCGTACCTTCCGCCGTGAGCTTAAGACCTGGCTGTTTAAACGCCCTAGCCAGAATTGATGGGGTCTACTGTTTTAAATTGGTTTTTAGTCTGTTTTTAGTCTGTTTTAAATTGTTATTTTTTGGGGTTGTTTCATTTGATGTGAGCCACCCTGAGTCCTCTGGAGAGAGGGCGGCATATAAATCCAATAAATAAATAAATTAATAATAATAATAATAATAATAATAATAATAATAATAATAATAATAATATAATTATAATAACAACAACCATGTTTCTTGTACCTTTCAATTTATATTGTTTTTATTTGTTTCTTAGTACGATTTGATATCTTATTAGTAACCTTGACTATCACTAAGTGTTGTATCTTTTTATTCTTGATGAATGTATTTTATTCTCCTTATGTACACTGAGAGCATACACACCAAAGAAAAATTCCTTGTGTGTCCAATCACACTTGGCCAATAAAAAATTCTATTCTATTCTATTCTATTCTATTCTATTCTATTCTATTCTATTCTATTCTATTCTATTCTATTCTTTTTTTTTTTAATTTGATTTATATGCCGCCCTTCTCCGGAGACTCAGGGCGGCTTACAATGCGTTAAGCAATAGCCTTCATTCTTTTGTATATTTTATACAAAGTCAGCTTCTTGCCTCCACAAACTGGGTCCTCATTTAACCTACCTTAGAAAGGATGGAAGGCTGAGTCAACCTTGAGCCTTGGAGAGATTCGAACCAGCAGAAATTGCAGGCAGCTGTGTTAATTACAGGGTGCACTAAACCCCTGTACTATCAAGGCTCTATTCTATTCTATTCTATTCTATTCTATTCTATTCTATTCTATTCTATTCTATTCTATTCTATTCTATTCTATTCTATTCTATTCTATCATATAAGAACAGAGGAGATGCATCATAAATTATTTCTTAATTGGGGGAACTTGCTTTCTTTTCTCAGAAAACTGAGTCAGTATTGCAAAATGAAAACTGTGTTTACCCGATGGTGTCATGCTCTGGCTAATTAATTACTACCCAGTTTGATATTCTAAAAATCAATAAAACAACCCAGTCTATCATTGACTTGTCTTAAACATTCCATAACTTGTTCCCTTCACATACATAATCATGATAAGTTGCCTCGTTCTTGACAGCCTGCCTAATGCCAGCTGATGCAGAGGGACGGAGAAATGTTTCTTACTCTGAAAATTCAAATTGGCGTTGAGAAGGCTCATCATCAAATGACAATTCTCTGAATCCATAGATGATCTGAGAAATCAGCCCACCGATGAGGAAGTCACCTGGCTGGTACCATTCATGAGGAACATGAAGAACATTACTTAAGCGACATTTCAGACCACCTGTTCTTCCCACCGTGATAAGAACAAAGCCCCAAAGCATTGACTGTGTCACCATCTCATAGCAAAGGTTGGCTTTCTAGATGATTTCAACTGCCAACTTCAGTGGTTCCTAATTTTGGCCACCAAACAAGGAAACATACAAATGCATGAATACCAACGGAGAGTGTCAGCATTTCCTTTACTGATAGGTGTTTAAAGGGTGGTGGAATTTTATAGATCAAATCCTATGAACCCTGCCTCCTGTTGGCTCCTGCTCCCACTGTCACACAGCACAGCCCTAATAGACAAGTTCAGACTTACTTCTTATTTTTCTACTGAGAGATTGGTGAAGAATTTGGCTAGATGAAATTACAGTGTTTTGGTGAATTCCAGGGAGAGAACTACTTCTTCAGTATTTGAATACTAAATAGCAATTTTGGTAACAAATATGCAGTAGCTGATCACAAGAATCTTCTGCTACATGGGGCAGAAGAAAAAATGTAATTCCCCAAGAGAGCAAAGTACAATAACTTTGAGTAAACAGCACAAGAAGAATTTCTGTCCTATCAAATGATTGGACATCCAGTTGTTGTTGATTAAACCATCAACTCTGAAACTATAAATTAGTTTGTGCACATAAGTATTATTAAAATAAGTATTTTGTAAACTAATACTCAAAAAAGATGAGCTTAGTCACAGTGCCAGAGAAAGCCAAAGGTGATTTTTCAAGAGGCAACTGGACTTACTTTCTTTGAAGACGTTTCCCTTCTCATCCAGGAAGCTTCTTCAGCTCTGACTGGATGGTGGGGAATGGAAGGCTTTATACTCCTTGCAGGAGTATAAATTTGCTGTCAGAGTCCCAGCACTGACATATATATAAAGAGAGGAGAAGCTTGAACTTTTGCCTACTAAATCCCTTTGAAGATTCTGTCTCCTCGGAGATGGGAGAGGGGGGAGACATTCCTGTGATCTGACGAAGAAGAGATCAGGAAAGTGACTTGGAAGATAGCCAATGAGAAGCAGAGAATTGGGGATCGGAAAGGGAGGGATTGGGGGGGCAAAGGTCAGTACTGACCGCAAAAGAGCCAGGATCAGATCGTTGTGCTCAAATAAAGAGAAAATTTCCTTAAAGATCAGCAGTTTGGAAATTCATTTATTTTGAGATAGCATCGAAACCTGACATTTGCATTATTTCATTTGGTCATTTGCATTATTTTAGAAAGTCATTGAGGCCACCTGGGGTTGTATCTGTGCCATCAGAGTCATCTTAGCAGTGCAAATGGGTGCAGAACTTTCTTGGAACTGTTGAAATGAGCTGCTAAAGAAATTGAATACATAAAGTAAGGTGAGAAAAGTAAGGTTCTACATATAGGAAAGACAAACCAAATACACAGATGTAGAATAGGTGGTACCTGGCTCAATAGTAGTAACCGTGATAAGAATCTTGTGCATAATTGCTTAAATATGAGCCAACAGTGTGCTGCAACTGCCAAAAAAGGCAACACAGTCTTGGGATGCATTAACAGAGGGATAGAATCAAGATTACATGAAGTTTTTTTTTTTTTTGTAAAAAGTTTTTTTTTATTCTTTACACAAACACACAAACAAACATACAATGCATTTTTTTCTGAACAGAATATTGGCTGGGTCACAAATTTATATAATTTTTAGTCATCTCCAATACAATTTATATATTCACTTTTTGCCATAGTGTTTATTCTCTCTAATTTTTACAAACTAATATTGCCCTTCATCTTAATCTCTAATCTTAATAAAATTCAATTTTTCCCTTTTCATCTCTTAGTTAAACCCTTTAAATTTAAAATCTCACAACATAATGTAATTCTCAATATTTCCTTAAATTCCCTTATTATAATCACAAATATTTTTCTTTATCAACTGTTCCAAATAATACAATCCAACATCTTAATAAAGATCAGTTAAATATATAGCATTACAATCATTCATTTCTTTTCTATTATTATGTTTATGTTTATGTTTATGTTTATGTTTTATTAAATTTGTATACTGCCCTACTCCCGAAGGACTCAGGGCGGTGAACAGGCACAGAATAAAATATATAAATACAAAAGTTAGAAACAATTTAAAACCAAATTAAATAATTTAGCCCAAAACAATTAAAAATCCCAATAATTTAAAACAAATTAAAATTTCAGTTTAAAAAATTAAAAAGAAAGGGGAGAAAATTAGGCCAGGCTGGCTTGCTGGAATAGGAGGGTCTTAAGAGCGTGGCGGAAAGTGCACAGATCCGGGATCCTCCATATCTCCAGGAGGAGCTCATTCCAGATAGTGGGTGCCCTCACAGAGAAGGCCCTCCCCTGGGGGCCGCCAGTCGACACTGCTTGGCTGACGGCACCCAGAGGAGCCCCTCTCTGTGAGAGTGTACCGGCCGGTGGGAGGCTGTTTGTGGTAGTAGGTGGTCTCGTAAATAACCAGGTTCTAAGCCATGGAGCACTCTAAAGGTGGTAACCAAAACCTTGAAGACCACCGGGAGCCAGTGCAGCTCACGCAGGAGAGGTGTCACACGGGAGCGCCATGTTGCTCCCATAACCACCCGCGCGGCCGCACTCTGTGCCAGTTGGAGCCTCCGGGTGCTCCTGAGGGGAGCCCCATGTAGAGAGCATTACAATAGTCCAGGCAGGAGGTGACAAGGGCATGAATGACCGTGTGTAGGGAGTCCCGATCCAGAAAGGGACGCAACTGGCGAATCAGGCGAACCTGATGAAAAATCAGGTTCAGGATTATAATCTCTTCTTTATTATAGTACCACTTTATAATAACTTGGTAAGACCAGAGGTGGTATTTAGCCAGTTTGGACCGGTAGCGGAAATCACGGGTGGTAGATTAATCTCCCTAAGTGGCTTTTATTAAATAAAAAGAAATATTGCATATAGATGTTTCAAAATCATAGGTATTGAATTATTGTGTTTTTGTGCTCTTCCGCACTCCCGTGGATGTTGGAGAATGCAATTCTGTGGAGCATGAGATTGAAGGTCCAATTTAGAAACGAGGCCTGTGAATCCTTATTCTTCTCTTTCAAAATTGGGGTGACTTTTAGATTCTGTAAAGGGAAGACTTGAAGTCTTGCTTCTTCAAAGTCGTTAAATAGGTCAAAAAAATCCCCATCTATTTATTGTCACAAGATGGCAGTAGAGGTCCAACTCAAAAGACATCAAGAAAAAAAGCAAGGCCACCAGATACTTTGGAATTGTGGCTTCTACTCCAAGGGTGAGTGATTCTTCAGCTTTTACCACAAAACCAACTGTGAAAAGATGCCTGAAGACCTACACTAGTGGCCAAAATTGTGGAAACCTTTTGGGAAAAGTGTATTTTCTAACCAATAACACAACTTTTTTTTTTTGAGTAGTAGTAGTACCATAAAATGATATATCAATGGAAAGATAATTTAATCAAGAATGTAATGCGATAGCTTTTATGAAGGATTTGCTATTAGAACAGCAGTTACAGTATAAAGAAGAAAAGAGAAACACGTAGAAAAAACGATATATACAAAAATGATCACCGTAGACAAAACGAGATATACAAAAATGATCACCATATCAGTTAATACTTAGTTGGGTCACCTTTAGCGTGAATTACAGCCTTACAACGTCTTCCCGTGGAGCGAACCAAGTCTTTTAGTTCTGTTATCATGTGAAACCAAGATTGAATGATGGCTTCTGTTAACTGGGTTTTATTGCTGGGTCGCTTTCTGACTAACAAGTTTCTTTAGTCGGCTTCATAGATTTTCAATTGGGTGAAGGTCTGGGCTATTCCCAGGCCATTCCAGCAGTGGAATATTATTATCTTGAAATCCAAAAAAAAAAAAGTGGTGTTATTAGCCATCAAACCTCAAAAATACAGTTTTCACAGAACTAAAACACACCAAGGAAGCTCTCAGAACATCTGGCTATCTCAAGTGAGCCTTCATCAAATCTCAAAAAAGATCCTACAGGAGCTCCTCCATAACAGACCATGAAGAGAACAATAAACAACATTGTCATTCTATAAATTGCAAGAATATTAGAAAAGCTCAGGAGGATCTGAATTTTGATCATATGACCATGTGGATGGTCATAAGTCACTTTTTTCAGTGTTGTTGTAACTTCAAACAGTCACCAAATGAACTATTGTAAGTCAAGGACTATCTGTACTGTAGGTTATTGTACTGTACTGTACCAGAGATTTTCCAGTCCTAGTCCAACATGTTAATTTTCTAGGCTGTACTGGGATGCTTTCATATATTAATACATTGTTCTAGTTCACGGAAGATCCAGTTTTGACAACAAACTTACTACAACTCTTGAAGGATGAATGAAAGGAAGTGGGGAAACGAGTGAAGGATTAACCTAACATTCTCTGGTATTCTCTCCATCTACAGTAGTGGCCAAAATTGTGGAAACCTTTTGGGAAAAGTGTATTCTTGATGTTTGATGGCTAATAACACCACTTTTTGGGAGAAGTTTTAAGATCATCCTATTCCACTGCTGGAATGGCCTGGGAATAGCCAGCTGCAGAACTAAAAGACTTAGTTCTCTCCATGGGAAGATGTTGTAAAGCTGTAATTCATGCTAAAGGTTACCCAACTAAGTATTAACTGACATGATAATTTTTGTATATCTTGTTTTTTTTTTATGATGATCATTTTTGTATATATGGTTTTTTCTACGTGTTTCGCTTTTCTTCTTTATACTGTAACTGCTATTCTAATAGCAAATCCTTCATAAAAGTTATTGCATTACATTCTTGATTAAATTATCTTTCCATTGATATATAATTTTATGGTACTACTACTACCCCCCCCCCTAAAAAAAAGTGGTGCTATTAGCTAGTTTTAGAAAATACACTTTTCCCAAAAGGTTTCCACAACTTTGGCCACTAGTGTAATGCCACCAAATACCAGCAAGGACAAAAGCCACCAGCAAAGGCAAAATGCTACACAGCTCAGAGTCAATGAAAAGAACAATAGACACACAACCAATAAAAAAGTCACACATCAATAAAACGATATTGTTTTTAGTTCTTCCTCTTTGTCAGCTGTTCTTTGGTGTTCAGCTCTGGTTTGATCAGAATAATATAACATTTGGGTACAAAGATGCAACCGAGTAAACCAGCACTGGAGGCCAAGATGGAGAAGATCTCCACCGCTAGCTTCTCTTTCCCTTTGGTGCTGAGATAGGCTGGAAGGAAAGCTAACCAAATGCTGCAAAACACCAGCATGCTGAAGGTGATGAACTTGGCTTCATTGAAACTCTCTGGAAGGTTCCTGGCTAGGAAGGCCACCATGAAGCTGATGATGGACAGAAGCGCCATATACCCCAAGACAAGGAAAAACATCACAATGGGCTCCTCATTACATTCTGCAATGATTTGTTTGGTGAATGACTGTTTGTCCAGATCTGGGAATGGGGGAAAGATTGTCATCCACACAACACAAAGAACTGCTTGAATGAAGAAACAGGAGACTACAATGGAGTTGGCCAATCTTTTCCCCACCCACTTCCTCATGTTGGACCCTGGTCTTGTTGCCATGAAAGCCACCACCACTGTGATGGTTTTGGCCAAGACACAAGAAATGGCCATTGAGAAAGTCATACCAAAAGTGGGCTGTCGTAGAAGACAGGTGATCCTCCTTGGTGGACCAAGAAAAAGCAAAGAGCAGAGGAAACAAAGCAGAAGGGAGACAAGGAGAATGTAAGAGAGATCTCGGTTGTTGGCTTTGACAATTGGAGTGTCTCTGTGCTTAATGAATATGTCAAGCACAAAGAGCATGGTGAAAGAGAAAACGAGAGCAGCAGAAGCTAAGCTGATTCCAAAAGGTTCTTCATAGGAGAGAAAAGTTATGACTTTTGGGATGCATTGAGTGTGGTTTTCATTTGGATACTGTTCTTCCGAGCATTTGAAACAGTCATTCATGTCTGAAAAAAAATAACCAAATTCCAGTTCAATTCTGACACACTGAGATTTTTTTTGTACATATTTCTTCCTGAAGGCTGTTAACATGCCACCATCTTCTACTGAAATATAGGTAGTGTTAACTTGCAAAGCTTTCAAGTTACTATGAGCAGGAGGGAGGGAGAACTGATAGAGCTGATTGATTTCCCTAACTGAAGCTACATTCCATAGATGCTTTCTTACCGCAATCAGTAGGAGAGTGTTGGGTTTCACAGCCAGCCAAAGTGGTTAATTGGAGAATGTGATTTATGACATGGCCAGGGAGGAGGGGAGAGACAGGGTCATAGGAGAATGTAAATCTATGTGGGATTAGTTCTAACTGTATCCAAATATTGCCGAAATGGTGCTCCTAATAAATGACTGTATTTCTTTTGAAGTTTGGCTCATGGCTCATGAATTAATTAGGGCATGTTTCGGAAATTTCACAGGTAGCTAATGATCATTCTATTTGTTATATAATTCACATCTGAACCCACGTACACATTCTGATTGCGCTTGATTTGAAGGAAACACTGCATTTTTATCAGAATAACATTCTCCAATACATGATGGTCTCTCTGTGTGGAATATGTTGTCTATACAACATCATTTACCTTTCTTGTCTGAAATCTTTTCTTCTGGGCAAGGAGCACAATCATAGCAACAAAATTTCTTCCCTTCCTTCTTCTTCTTCTGATAACCTGGTTGGCAATACTCATTACACACCGAATGAGGGGCCACCTATCCAGAAAGATGAAAATAATTGAGATGTTCTGAAAACAATAGTATCTGAAGGTACTAGGAATTCAATTGCTTCTTATATTATTAAGCATTGGTTTCTACAAATTGTGGGAAGTGTTCCCAGAACATGAGTTCACACGTGAAAGGAGATGGATAATACAAACATTAAGACCATCTTTCATTCTGAAGACACACTATTATTTCCACTTGAAATGATGTAAGATGATATTTGGGGAAGTGTTTGGTGTCTACTACTTTTTCAGATTTGTTTTTGGCCATCTCATGTCATTAACAGATTATACATATTAGTAAATGTATTATGTTGATCATGAACTCTTTTGTTCAGTGTTTACATTCACTTAAACAAGACAACAAAAGCCAAATAAATATCTAAAATACTTACCGTATTTTTCAGAGTATAAGACGCACCTTTTTTCCCTTAAAAGTGGGTGAAAATTTAGGTGTCTTATAGACCGAATAAGGGGACGCGGTGGCACAGTAGCTAAGATGCTGAGCTTGTCGATCGAAAGGTCGGCAGTTCCCCCCACTTGTACAGAAGTGTAAAAGGATTTTTGCAGGATATCATTTCTTATTTCTCTATCTGTAAAATATATGACCACATCTCTGGGTAATTGTCTTTGTCTGGCCACCCAGGAGTTCACTCTGTAAATTTTGTCTATTTTGTGAAAAACCACATCAGGATTAACTTGTAGAATCTTGGCCAGGGCCTCAGAACAAACTTGTCTCAAATCCTGTCTTTCCTCCTCTCGGATTCCCCGAAGCCGTATAGCGAACTCCATTGCCCTGAATTGTATCATAACAATCTCGTTTTCAACTCTCTGCATTTTATTGTCAACATCAGCAATTTTATAATCATTGTCTTTCATCTTAACATTAACTTCTGATTTAAGTTCTTCAACTTTAAAATCAACTTTCCCAATAAATTCTGCCAGGCCAGTTGCCACTTCTGATATTTTTTTGGTCACCTTAATTTGGTTCTGTTTCACCATATCTTTAACTTCATTAATTTCCTGCATAAATTCCTGATGTGATTTTTGAAGTTTATCATCTATCTCCTGATGTGATTTTTGAAATTTATCATCCAAAATTTTAGAAATAAATTCTTTTAAATCTCCCACATCAATTTCTTTTTTCTGAGTCTGTAGCTGTTGAGCAGGGGGAAGTTGCGTTTCATGATTGTGTGGGGGGGATCCCCCCCCTGTTGCCTTCCCTTCCTGCTTCTTTGAAGCCATCCTGCCACGTGATCTAGTTTTTCTAAAGAGGGAAGTTCCTTTTCCTTTCCCTCCTGCACAAAGACTTCTAAAAAAGTCCCCCAGATTTGATCAAATAAAGGTTGAAATAAAGCAAAGTCAAATATTGAAAAGGGAGAAATTTTCCAGTTGTTTCTCTTATAACAAACAAGGCAACTTTGTAGCAACTTGGAAACTTTGTAACAAAGCAAGATAACTTCACCAATCCACACTCGCTGGCTCGTTAACTCTGAGGCTAAGCGCCATGTTTTTTCAAAGCACTTTCACTCATTCGCATTTTTCTCAGATTAAAAAGTCAACAAAGCGCTAATACTTGCGTTTCCAAGTTTCAGGATTCAGGTAATTTCGCTGTTTATTAAAGCTGGTTCTTTTTCGCTTTAAGTTTCCTGCAGCCGGCTTGTTCTGCAAAAGCAGAATCGTCCCACGTCGCCCGGAGTTTCAGCAGGTTGGAAGGGAGCCACGCCTGTTCTCTCCCCAGAAGCTTCCCTGGGGGGTTACAGGGGCTCGACCTGTGTCCTGCGATCTCTACTTCTTCAATCCTATGGATTTTGAAGTTTTCGAGCCGCTTCTTCGTCTCGAAGCGGCTCTACAGGCGGCGGGGCTGGCGGAGCTTCAAAAGGCGCCGCCGTCGCCGAAGACGAATTGGAATTTATAAAGAATTGCCTCCTAAAATGCTGAAAGCTAGAAAAGAATTTGGCTTTCTTGTTAAGGAACTGCAAAATTTACAGATACCTTTCCGGTGGGACGCACCAGTTGGCATAATTTTCAGATACAAGGGAGAAAGATATCGTTTGAATACCGTGGAGAAGGCACAGCATTTTTATACTACTATTCTTAAGGAAAGAACACCATCTCCACGTACATCTACAGTTTTGGAGATTAAAGAGAGTGAAGAGAAGCAACCTCAACGAGAATCGCAAGAACAGTCTAAGCAGGGATTAGAGGAAGTGCAAGGTGCAGAAGGAGGTTTTCTGGATGAGCCCTTGCTGGAATCTTCTCCAATCTTGGACTCGGTTCGGATGATTGAAGTTAAGGATCAACGTATAACTAGGGCTCAATCTAAGTTACTTAAACAAAAGCAACAACAACAACAGCAAAGACAAGACAAGGAGGCAGTTAAGAGTACTGCACAAGAGACTGGAGCCATGGGAGGAGCGAGTTCGAAGCTTTCGGATGATCTTCAATTATTTTGCTCTTTGCTCCAGAAAGAGGGTGATGACGTTTAAGTGTTTATCTTGGAATGTTAATGGGTTGAATTCAGCACAGAAAAGGAAGAAATTATTTACATATTTGAAACAATTTAATAATGATATAATTTGTTTACAAGAAACGCATATCACAACTCAAGATCAAAAATATTTGATAAACTCCAAACTAGGAACACATTTTATATCTTCAACTTCGCAAAAAAAGAATGGTGTGGTTATTTATGTAAATAAAAAGTTAACAGCTAAAGTTATAGAAACAGATGAAGAGGGTAGGTTTGTAGCAATTGAATTGCTTACAGAAAACGGCCAAATTCTTTTGATTGGAATTTATGCTCCCAATCAACAACAGGACTATTTTTACAAGATGTTACATACTAAAATATTGCAATGGGATTACAGATCTATTTTAATTATGGGAGACTGGAATGGAGTAATTGACTCTAAATTAGACAAAAAGAGTTTGGCAAAGTCTAGGATCAGATTACCACAGACCTTTTTTGACATGAAAGAAGATATGGAACTAAAAGATGTTTGGAGAATACATAATTCAAAAGAATTGGACTACACTTTTTTTTCTGACAGACACAGATCCTTCTCTAGGATTGACTTCATTTTGTTGACAGATGATTTACTTGTTAAGACAAAAAGAACAAAGATTTTTCCAAGAACTTTGACTGACCATAGCCCAGTATGGATAGAAATTGAGATGGATAAGCTTGAGAGATGTTCTTGGAGATTAAATGAGAATTTGTTTAGATATGAAAAAAATACAACAGAACTTAAAAAGCATTTGAAAGAATTTTTTGAAATAAATTTGAATAAAGGTACCCCAATTGAAATTGTGTGGGATGCAAGTAAAGCTTATATGAGAGGGGTACTTATCTACATGAACTCTAAACACAGACTGTTCCGACAAAAGAAAAGATCTGAACTGGAAATAGAAATAAAGAATAAAGAACAGTTACTTATTAAAAATCCAACAGATGAAAGAATACGTAGTGCTATAAAACTGTTGAAAGACCAATTTCAAATGCTTATGGCGGAACAAGTTGCAACAAACTTACAATATGCGAAGCATAACACATTTTGTAACACTAATAAACCGGGCAGATGGTTGGCTTACACATTGAGGAAAAAACAAAGTATACGGACTATTGATAGTATTGATATTGGAGGGAAAGAAATTTTTCAACAAAAATTAATTAAAGAAGCTTTTGTGGACTATTATACTAAATTATATGCTAAAGAGGAGGTGCAGAATGGACTTATAGAAAAATATTTAAACGATAAAAGAGTTACAAAAATTACTGATCAACAAAAGGAAAGAATGAATTATCCCATAACAGAGGAGGAGATAATAGTAGCAATTAAACAGTTAAAAACAGCCAAAGCTCCCGGCACGGATGGTTTGACCGCAGTGTATTACAAAACTTTGCAAGCTGAAATGGTGGAACAACTTAGAGATTTATTTTGCAATATTCAGCAAGGGGGTAAAATACCCCCATCATGGACAACAGCTCACATATCTTTGATACCAAAAGAACAAATCGGTCCTAAAAAACCAGAGAACTATAGACCAATATCTCTTTTGAATACAGATTATAAAAACTTTGCGAAAGTACTAGCCAACAGGTTGATGCCAGTAATTCAAAAGGTGATTCATGATGATCAAGCGGGATTTATCGAGGGCAGATACATGAAGGACAATGTAAGGCAAGTAATAGATTTATTGGAATATCTTGAGAAGAATAAACAGATTCCTAGAGTGCTGGTCTTTTTGGACGCAGAGAAGGCCTTTGACAGAGTGGATTGGAATTTTCTACTAAAGACTTTAAAAAAGATGGACTTTGGGGATCAATTTATACAGGCGATTTCAGCAATTTATCAAGAGCAAAAGGCACAGATTATTATTAATGGAAGTCTGACAACAGAGTTTAAAATTGAAAAAGGAACATGACAGGGATGTCCGTTGTCCCCACTTTTATTTTTATTTTTTTTATTTATTTTTTTTTTATTTGATTTATATGCCGCCCTTCTCCGGAGACTCAGGGCGGCTTACAGTGCGTTAAGCAATAGCCTTCATACTTTTGTATATTTATACAAAGTCAGCTTATTGCCCCCACAAACTGGGTCCTCATTTAACCTACCTTAGAAAGGATGGAAGGCTGAGTCAACCTTGAGCCTTGGAGAGATTCGAACCAGCAGTAAATTGCAGGTAGCTGTGTTAATAACAGGGTGCTTTAAACCACTGTAGTACTTAACACTAGAAGTCTTGTTAAATACAATATGGGACTCTAATATCTTGAAAGGCATAAAGATTAGGCAAGAGGATTACAGAATAAAGGCATTTGCAGATGATCTGGTTGTTACCCTATCACAACCAATGGAATCAATAATCTTGATGAAGGACATTATACAAGACTATGGTAAAGTTTCAGGTTTTAGACTGAATCCAAAAAAGACTAAAATGATAGCTAAAAACATGACACAAGATCGTAAACATGAGCTTGAAAGGAGGGCAGGTTTTGAGACTGTACCTAAGGTAAAATATCTAGGAGTTCAGGTTGCAGAATCAAACATGAAATTGTTTCAAAATAACTATGAGGTGTTGTGGCGAGAGGTGCAGAAAGATATGGAGATTTGGAAAAAACTGCAGCTGTCTCTACTTGGAAGAATAGCAGCAGTTAAGATGAATATTTTGCCAAGATTTCTTTTTTTGTTTCAAATGATTCCGGTGCTTAAAAGTGATAAACAATTGAAAGTTTGGCAATCTGGAGTGAATAAGTTTGTCTGGAAAGAGAAGAAGCCGAGAGTGAAATTGAAAATTATGCAAGATGTTCCAGAAAGAGGAGGTCTTAAACTTCCAAACCTACAGCTATATTATGATGCAGCAGCTTTAACTCTAACAAGTGATTGGTTTGGAAGTAAAAAGGCTGGAATATTGAATGCAGAAAGTTTTGATCTTGAATTTGGATGGCATGCTTACTTATTTTATGATGACAAAGTTGATAAAGTATTTAAAAGTCATATACTTAGAGACTCTTTGATGAGAGTTTGGAAGAAGCATCGACTCAAATGGGATTATAAAATACCGTTATGGCTGGATCTTGGTCATACTTTGTGGAATACAAATATAATGTCACTTGGGGGGGGGTTATATAAAGAGGTTCTTTTTACAGATGCGGGCAGATGGCAGCTGAAGACATTGCAGACACTGTTGGATGAAGGGATTAATTTAACTTGGTTACAATATAATCAATTACAATTGAGATGGAAAGAGGACCAAAAAACTGGTATTATGTTGCATGAGGAAGAATTGGTTAGACATATAAGAGAGAAAGGTCCAATGCATATCAAAAGGCTTTATAATGTTTTGCTAGAAAGAGACTCAGAAACTGAATTAGTTAAAGACTGTATGATTAAGTGGGCACAAAATTTTGAAGAACCAGTGATGTTGGAAACATGGGAAAAAATTTGGGTTCAGAATGTTAAATTTACACAGTCGCAGAATCTGAGGGAAAATTTCTATAAAATGTTTTATAGATGGCATTTAGATCCCAAAAAGTTGTCATGTATGTACCCTAATGTTCAGCCAAAATGTTGGAGATGTGAATGTTTGGATGCTACGTATTATCATGTTTGGTGGACCTGTAGGAAAGTTAAGGCTTTTTGGATAAAAATTTGGTGGGTCATGCAGAATGTTTTGAAGAAAAAAATTCAATTTTCTCCACAACTGTTTTTATTGGGTATAGTTAAGGGTTTTACATTGGGTGAAACAAAATTGATATTGTATATGATAACAGCAGCAAGATTGTTGATAGGTAAATACTGGAAGAATGAAGCTTTGCCCTCTATCGAGGAATGGACTTTGAAGATGGCCAGTTTTGCAGAGATGGCGAAGATTTCAGCATATTTAAAAGATTGTTCACAAGAGACTTATGAATGGGAATGGAAAAGGTGGATAGAATATGTTCAGAACAAATATCAAACTAGAAAGTATCAAATAGCTTTTACTTGAAAATAATGTATTGGAAATATTTTAATGTAATGAGGTAAAGAGAAAAACTATACAGGGAGGGAGGGGTTCAAGTTTATATATAAGTGTTATATTAAGGGTTTTTTATGAGTATGAGTATATTATAGGGAAGTCTGGGGGGTGGGGAGGGTTGGGGGGGTTAGGGAGGTTGGGAAGTCTGGGGGGGGAGGTGGGGGGGGAAAAGGGGTGAAAATGTAATTGTAAAACTTTTGCAATAAAAAAATAAAAAAAAGAAGATAAAAAAAAAATGAAAGGTTGGCAGTTCAGCGATTCAAATCCCTAGTGCTGCATAACGGGGTGAGCTCCCGTCATTGTCCGAGTTCTGCCAACCTAGCAGTTCGAAAGCACGTCAAAAATGCAAGTAGAAAAATAGGGACCACCTTTGGTGGGAAGGTAACAGTGTTCCATGAGCCTTTGCCGTTTAGTCATGCTGGCCACATGACCACGGAGACGTCTTCGGACAGTGCTGGCTCGTCGGCTTTGAAACAAAGATGAGCACTGACCCCTAGAGTTGGGAACGACTAGCACATATCTGCGAGGGGAACCTTTACCTTTACAGACCAAATACGGACATTTTTGGGCTCCCAAGCCCTCTGTGCATTGTGTTTTCACCGTCCCAGGCCCTCAAAAGCACTCTGCAGTGCTCCGCATGGACCGTTTTGGCCAAAAACGGGTCCATTTTTGGCCTGCAGAGTGCTTCTGGGGCCTGGGAGGGCAAAAATGTGATGCACAGAGGGCTTGGGAGCCCAAAAATGGGCATATTTTTGGCAAAAACAGGCCATGCGGAGCACTGCAGAGTGCTTCTGGGGGCCAGGGAGGGCAAATATGTGAGGCGTGGAGGCCAAAAACTATTTTTTCTTGTTTTCCTCCTGTAAATTTAAGTGCTTCTTATAGTCTGGCATCTTATAGTCTGAAATATACGGTAATAAAGAATATAATAGATGAATATTCCTACGAAGTTGTGGGATCTTAATCTTCTGAATTTGAGACCAGACAGCTACTTTCCATGGTAGTTTCAATGACAATCTGTTGCATTACAGAGGACTGGAAGAGATGATCTTTGTGGTCCTTTCCAATTGTTCAATGTTGTACTTATATGTACAATGTTCTTCGTGTCTGATTTTAAAATAAAATAAAATAAATGAAACTAGGGTCCTACATTGTACACCTGGTTAAAAGCTTTATGCCACACTATCATATCCTGGTTAAGGGAGATTTGTTTTCCTTCTGCAGACTTGGGATCAAGCTTTCCAACTTTCACCCTCTGAAAAGTATGATTGGGGAAGGTGATCAGGTTGGTGATATCAAGTTGACTTTCTACTTCTCCTTCCACATTGAAGGACACCATTTCTCCTGCTGAGTTATTAAACGAAATGTCCTGAAGAATGCTGTGGAGCTGATAGAAACAGAAATACATAAACAAAGAAAAAAAGAAATAGTTTATCTATCTATATATAAGCCAAATACCACTCACTCATCACAAAATCTTCAGAACGGTAAAGCCTACAAACTTGAAATCTGGCACATATATTCCAGGTTGAACCAATTCCTATTGGTTCTAGGTGCTTGCTAAGAAATGATTTTTCAAAATGACCATCAGATCATTAGTATTTCATATACAGTATTATATTAATACACTCTGATGCTAAGGAGTTAGACATTCCACTCCCCCTCCCCACCTGAAAAGAACTCTGTCCCAACTGCCAGTTGCCTTATATTAACCCACTCTGATGCTAAGGAGTTAGACGTTCTACTCCTCCTCCCCCCCTGAAAGGAACTCTGTCCCAACTGCCAGTTGCCTTATATTAACATGCTCTGATGCTACCCATTTGCTAAACCAGGCGTGGCCATGGCTAGCAGGTGACTCATCCAGCCTGCAGGCTGGGACATTCTATTCCCCCTCCCCCTCTGTTCCAACTGCCAGTTGCCTTATATTAACACACTCTGATGCTACGGAGTTACACATTCTACACTAAGTTTCAGGCTTTCAGTTTCATTTTTATCACATCCGATCACATAATTTCATAGTGAAGCACGGGTGTCCAGCTAGTTGTTTATATTCATGGTATTATAAAAAGCTTAATGTGGAAAACATGGGGGAAGCATTACCCGCCAAGGCTGAAGCCTTTTTCTATCCAGTGTTGCCCTAGAACTGGCTCGAGCTGAACTTACAGATTGCAAAGCATGGGCCACAGCATGAACTCCATTGTAGATACTGTAGCTGTGCCCACTCATGGTCACTTCAAAATGTGATTCAGGGATGGATTCCGAGCTCTCCTCCCTGGTACACTTTTTCTTTCCCACTTGCTCCAAAGTTGCAAAGAGACATTTGAGTGCTTGATTCCAAAAATATTCTAGTTTATTAACCTTTGGGCTTTGGTCAGGTCTGAGGAGGTAGAGAAAAGTCTGGAATTCCTTAATCTCACTGGAATGAAGCATGAAGGAAAGAGCTCCTTGGAATATTTGAATTTTAGCATCAGGCCGTTTAGTCATTAATGAGAAATCTATCTGGTCTGTCATAATCCACACCTTTCCCCCACATGCCTTTTCATTGCATCGATCATATATGTCAACTAGTAAAGAAGCCAGGTACAATATGGTTGAGGTATCTCCATAAATGATGAAGGTACTTGCTCTGCCCTCTGTAAAATGGAGGTTCAGTTTTTCAACCAGCTCAGCGAGTTTTTTCCAACTGTTTACGCTATTTAAATGCTGCTGTGGAATTATTTGGGTAAAAGCGGAGCAGATTCTATTCTGAGAGAACAGGGCCTCCAGGGAGAGCAGGAAACATTCTGCACTGTCGCCATCCTGAGTGAAGAGGCCAATCCATGTCCATCCAAAGTTCTTTAGCAGATAAATTATACCTTGAACCTGGTGATCTTCACCAAGGGCCATATGGAAGAAGGAAGGGTTGACTCCATTTCTCCTTTCAGAAGCAAAGGATCCATAGGCCAACTAAGAGGAGAGGAGACATTTCAGAAATGAGTTAGAAGAATGTTCTCCTAGTCTGTGTGAGATATTTTCGAAATAGAAATAGAATAATAGAATTGGAAGGGTCCTTGGAGGTCTTCTAGTCCAGGGGTCACCAACCCCTAAGGAGCCTTGGTGGTGCAGCGGACTGAAGTATGTTAAGTAGCACTTAGCTGCCAGCTGCCTGCAATTACTGTGAGGTCAAATCTCACCAGGCTCAAGGTTGACTCAGCCTTCCATCCTTCCGAGGTAGGTAAAATGAGGACCCGGTTTGTGGGGGCAATAAACTGACTTTGTATAAAAAAGAACACCACTTGGGGGGGGGGGCGAAAGCCCTACTAAGCAGGTATATACAAAAGTATGAAGGCTATTGCTTAATGCATTGTAAGACGCCCTGAGTCTCTGGAGAAGGGCGGCATATAAATCAAACCAATAAATAAATAAATAAATAAACCTTTCGGATGCCAGGAACCACTAAATTCATAATTTTAAATCCAGCAGACCACTAATATGATCTGCCTAATGAATGTCTGGGTGGGTGTGGCAAGGTGGTCATGTGACTGGGTGGGCGTGACCAACTTGATGTCACTCACGTCGAGGGGCGCCTTGCCAGCCTCTACTCACCACTCTTCGCCTGCCCAACCAGGCTCCTTAGGGCCTCAACAGGAAGCAGTTGCTGGAGCTAAGCAGCCACCACGAGAAAGAATTGCCAAAACAGCTGGCTCAGTTCAAATTGGATCTGACCGAGAAGGAGGCTCAGCAGAAGCACCTCACAGAGGATACGAGCATAGGCTTTCCAAGCAGAGCAAAGACCTGCAGGAGTGCAAGGCCAGGTGCCAGCGCCTGGAGGCTCAGCAGGCTGAGATGGTCAGCCAGTTCCAGACCATGATGCAGTCCCACTGGAACAAGGTCCTCCGGCTCTTCGCCACCAGCAGTGCTTCCCTCCAGCCTTGGCCAATGCCCCACACCAGGAGGCTGAAGCAAACCCCAAGTCGGAATTTCTGCCCCCCTCTGACCTAGAAGGAGGAGACTCTCTGCAGCAACACAAATGTTCATTAAACATATCCGGCCCAGGGGCCGTAGTTTGAGGACCCCTAATTTAGTGCAATATAAAAAATGCAAATATTTTTTCTACAGACCACCAAAATTTTCTTGTGGACCACCAGTTGGTGACTGCTGTTCTAGTCCAACCCCCTGCTTAGGCAAGAAACCCTACGTCACTTCAGACAAATGGTTATCCAACATCTGCTTAAAAACTTCCAGTATTGGAGCATTCACAACTTCTGGAGGCAAGTTGTTCCACCGATTAATTGTTCTAACTGTCAAGAAATTTCTCCTTAGTTCCAAGTTGCTTTTCTCGTTGATTACTTTCCACCCATTGCTTCTTGTCCTACCCTCAGGTGCTTTGGAGAATAGCTTGACTTTCTCTTCTTTGTGGCAGATATTGGGACACTGCTATCATTTTATTTATTTATTTTATTTTATTTTTCAGATTTCTATACCGCCCTTCTCCTTTCGGACTCAGGGCAGTGAACAGCCAAGATAAAACATTTGTACACAAAAGTTAAAATAGATTTAAAATAATTAAATAAAATTTGGCCCATAATTTAAAACATTTCACTTAAAATCAATATCAATTTTAAAAACCAACCATAAAATCCGGACAGCCCGGCTAACTGAAAAAGATAGGTTTTAAGGGCCTGATGAAAAGTCCGGAGGTCTGGGATCACTCGTATCTCTTGGGGGTAGATTGTTCCAGAGGTAGGTGCCACCACAGAGAAGGGTCTCCCCCTGGGGGTCACCAGCCGACATTGTCTGGCCGACGGCACCCTGAGGAGGCCCTCTCTGTGGGAGCGAACTGGCCGGTGGGAGGCAATTGGTGGCAGAAGGCAGTCCCGTAAGTACCCCGGCCTAAGCCATGGAGCGCTTTAAAGGTGATCACCAACACCTTGAAGCGCACCCGGAAGTCCACCGGAAGCCAATGCAGCTCCTGCAGGAGAGGAGTCACATGGGAGCGCTGTCATCATGTCTCCTCTAGTACTTCTTTTCATCAGACTAGACATACTCAGTTCCAGCAAACCATTCTTTATATGTTTTAGCCTCCAGTCCCCTAATCATCTTTCTTGCTCTTCTCTGCACTCTTTCTAGAGTTTTTCATGAAGCCTGCTTTGTAAAGATACCTATTTGTACCTTGATCGACTTTAGTGGTCTTTAGCAGGGAATGACTTAAAGTTACTGCTGATGAGACACAATAGCGAGCTCTACCATCAAGAGAATAAGGGGTGTATGTGTATTTGTGTGTGTGTGAAAAAAATAATTACTGAGGTTGTACAGTTAATGCTCAATAACCATAAATAAGAAATAGCAAGTCGACTACATTGTTTTCATGATATTAAAAGAAGAAAAGAAATATTTATTGTGGTGTAGGGTTTCCTGCCTAAGCAAGGGATTGGACTAGAAGACCTCCAAGGTCCCTTCCAACTCTGTTATTCTATAATTCTAATTCTAGAATGAGATGACTCACAGCCACCATGTGGATATGACTGGGTGGGCATGGCTGGGTGGTTCACTACAACTAGGTGGGCACAGATGAGTGTCATGGCCAGGTAGGCACACCAACTAACTTGATGCACACATACCCTTCCAAGCTTGAAGAAAGAAAGAAAATACAATTATTAGCAAAAAAATAGTTGTTTAGGATTCCAATCACAGTTGGCCAATAAAGAATTCTATTCTATTCTATTCTATTCTATTCTATTCTATTCTATTCTATTCTATTCTATTCTATTCTATTCTATTCTACTCTACCCTACCCTACCCTACCCTACCCTACCCTACCCTACCCTACCCTACTCTATTCTAAATTGGAATATGATCGAGTTTAGTAGCAAAATCTCCAGTATGTTTATCATTGAATTTAATTCATTATCTATGATGTATTGTGTGTAGTTTCACCGTTATTGGGTGTTCTGCAAATGTAGGTTTCTCATCACAGAGCAACACATTTCCATACATAAGCATGTGTCTTAATAAATAAATTTTATATTTTTATGCTTTGGAATTCTATGTAAAAAATGTTGTTCGATTGCAAACTGGATCCCTTAAATTCTCTGGATAGTTTGTGCATTTCTTTCCTTTTTGGAGTTTTGGGGTTGCATTTCCACCACGTATGTCAGAAATTTCCTTCTGTCTTATGCCCTCTTCGGCACTTTGTCTATATGATTTGTCTCTTTTGGCAATTATTGATTGCGTTGTACCGTGTTTCCCCAAAAATAAGACCTTGTCTTATTTTATTTTTTTTATTTTTTTTGAACCCTGAAATAAGCACTTGGCCTTACTGCCACGCGCTCAAAAGCCCGATTGGGCTTATTATCAGGAGATGTCTTATTTTGGGGGAAACAGGGTATATCATCTGTAAAACATTTATATACAGTTCTCTCTCAGACAGTGGTGGTATCCAGCTGGTTCAGACCAGTTCGGGCGAACTGGTAGTGTCAAACTGCTGGTCCACCCGCCACGGCCCTATGCCGTCCTATTTAGCTATGTTTTCTAAGCCACGTGCATGCATGCAAGCCTCAAGAGTGAGTAAAGCACTCACATTTTTGGTGTGCAGCGAATGGGTGGTAAAATTATGTGAAACCCACCTCTGCTCTCCGACTATACTACTATAGTCTACTCAGACTATATTGTATACTATTTGTACCTTAGAATCAGTTTCAGATTGCTGGACAATTGCCTGAACAATTTGTGTGGAGAGTGACAAGCCTGTGATCACACAATTGATTTTGTGCCTAAAGCAGGGCTAGACCTCACTGGCGTCTAAACTACTACACCAAACTGACTCTCCAACAATAGCATGGAATAAATGCTATAAGCTTGTTCCATAGTTTTTCACATGTGGCATTGTAATTGTTCTGTGAAATTTTGCATGCACATTTTTATTTCTCCTCTCTCCACTTCAGATCTAAGTAGAACTTAATATACACAGTATACTTAATAGGGGGTCTTTGTTCTTTGTAAGCATTTCAAATTCTGTCTTTATTTATTTATTTTTTTAATGTCCCTTCCTATTTCTAAGGTCAGATTTTATTCTTCCAATGATTTGCAAATGCATTATTCTTGCTGTATCTATTCATGAGATCTGGGTATTCTGTATTTGCCTATGTAATTTAATTTTTTTTTTTTTTACTGTAGTTATCTCCAATATAAAAAGCTAACTAAGACATTATTGGACTTATTGTTTGTGGTGCAATCAGAACAATCTTGAACTAAATACACTCAAAACTGTAGAAATGGTGGAGAATTTTAGAAGAAACCCTCCTATACTACCACCTCTTACAATACTAGACAACACAGTATCAACAGTCGAGTCCTTCAAGTTTCTAGGTTCTATCATATCTCAAGACTTAAAATGGACACCTAACATCAAAAACATCATCAAAAAAGCAAACAACAAAGAATGTTCTTTTTCCGCCAACTCAGAAAGCTCAAACTGCCCAAGGAGCTGCTGATATATAATTCTACAGAGGAATTACAGAGTCTGTCATCTGCACCTCCATAAGTGTCTGGTTTGTCTCTGCAACTAAACAAGACAGACACAGACTTCAGAGGATAATTAGAATTGCAGAAAAAACCATTGCAACCAACCTGCATTCCATTGAGGACCTGCATATTGCACGAGTCAAAAAGAGAGCTGTGAAAATATCCACAGACCCCTCACATCTTGGACATAAATTGTTTCAATTTCTACCCTCAAAAAAAAAAAAAAACACTCTAGAGCACTGCACACCAGAACAACTAGACACAAGGATGGTTTTTTTCCCAAATGCCACCACTCTGCTAAACATCTAAACAACACTGTCAAATTAACTACTAAGCCTGTATTACTATTCTTCTCATCCTTACTAGTACCTCTCTCTTCTCAATTATAGCTATATCCATGTTGCTTGTTGCTTGTAGCTTTACAACTTATATTGTTTTTATTGTTTCCTAGTATGATTTGATTGCTTATTAATATCCTATGACTATCACTAAGTGTTGTATCATATGATTCTTGATGAATATATTTTATTTTTTCTTTATGTACGCTGAGAGTATATGCACCAAGGACAAATTCCTTGTGTGTCCAATCACACTTGGCCAATAAAGAATTCTATTCTATTCTATTCTATTCTATTCTATTCTATTCTATTCTATTCTATTCTATTCTATTCTATTCTATTCTATTCCATTCCATTCCATTCCATTCCATTCCATTCCATTCCATTCCATTCCATTCTATTCTATTCTATTCTCTATTCTATGGCTATTTTCTCATATTCTAAATCTCCTTCCCCAATGTGTAGTTTAGTTTAGTTTAGTTTAGTTTATTAGATTTGTATACCGCCCTACTCCCGAAGGACTCAGGGCGGTGAACAGCCATGAAATAAAACATATCAATACAAAATTTAAAATAGAAATAAAACAAGTTAGATAAATTTGGCTGAACCATATTTAAAACCCCAATAATTTAAAACCAAATTTAAAATTCCCATTTAAAAGAGAAGTTTAGGTCAGGCCGGCTTGCTGGAATAAGAACGTCTTCAGCGTGCGACGGAAGGTACGCAGATCCGGAATCCTCCGTATCTCGGGGGGGAGCTCGTTCCAGATAGTAGGTGCCCCCACAGAGAAGGCTCTCCCCCTGGGGGCCGCCAGTCGACATTGTTTGGCCGACGGCACCCGGAGGAGCCCCTCTCTATGGGAGCGTACTGGTCGGTGGGAGGCTATTGGTGGTAGCAGGCGGTCCCGTAGATAACCAGGTCCTGAGCCATGGAGCGCTCTAAAGGTGATGACCAAAACCTTGAAGCGCACTCGGAAGACCACCGGGAGCCAGTGCAGCTCGCGCAGGAGAGGCGTTACATGGGAGCGCCACGTCGCTCCCATCACCACCCGCGCGGCCGCACTCTGCGCCAGTTGGAGCCTCCGAGTGCTCCTCAAGGGGAGCCCCATGTAGAGAGCGTTACAATAGTCCAGACGGGAGTGTAGAAAGTATCTCCCCAGGTATGCAGATGTCCTTGGAACTCATATGGCTTTTATTTTCTCATTATTTAATAAAACACAATCCTGAAAAGCAAGCTGTAAAAAATAAATAAATCCCAAAGATATATCAAAGAAAAATGATTCCCGTCTAGAGACCTCACCTGTGGAATTTTGTAAAGAGTTAAGATGTCTGCCACTTGGAAGGAGATATCAGAATTTAATCCTGCAATCATGGCTATCACATTCTTCTTGGAGTCACAATTGTAATTGAAGACTGTGTTTTGCTGTGATTTGAAGAGAAGCTGCAAAATACTGTGATAGAAAGTTTTTTTGTGGTTGTAACTGTCCACAATGTAGAATCCAAGGGTGATATTGGACAAGATCTCCGGATTCCCATTGATCTCATTTAGGGCAAATGCCAAGGCTAAATTATGCTGGTAAAAATTTCTGTTTATTCTGAAAATAGAGATATATCGTTATTTTTCATGAAATCAACAACAGGATCAAAGTGCATAATTTAACAACATCCTCCCCCATTTTGAAAGACTGTGCAAGATTCTTAGCTTAAGTTTAGCTAACCACAAATGACAGATAACGTCTGGGTTGCTAAGAAATGGCATGTAGATATTGATGGAAGCTCCAGGGGTTGCATTTGACTAGAAGGAACTGTTAAATAAAGCCAACCTTCGTTGATCTGATGGTTGGACTTGATTAATTACCAAGAAATCCTAGAAGTGTAAACTAAACTGGCAGGAAAAGTCCCAGAACTAAAAGGGAAGTCAGTGCTGCAAATTAATATAATTGAGCGAGTCTAGAGGTATTTCACAAGAAGAGTCCTCCACTCCTCTGCTCACAACAGAATACCTTATGCTTGAAATTTTGAGCTTAGACAATTTAGAATTATGCTGAGTTCGGTCTGACCTAAGTGTAATACACAAAATTATCTGCTACAACATCCTACCTATCAATGACTACTTCAGCTTTAACCACAATAATACACGAACACACAATAGATACAAACTTAAAATAAACTGCTCCAAACTCGATTGCAGAAAATAGGACTTCAGCAACAGAGTGGTCAATGCCTGGAATGCACTACCTGACTCTGTGGTTATTTCCCCAAACCCCCAAAACTTTAACCTTAAACTGTCTACCGTGGACCTCACCCCATTCCTAAGAGGTCTGTAAGGGGCGTGCATAAGCGCACCATCATACCAAC